GGGCCCTCACACCCAGGCCTCATCCCTTCCTCTTGGGACCCCAGGCCACACCCTCCCACCCCTGCCCTCCCTTCCTTGGCCTCCCAGCCTCTCCCACCCTGTCCGGTTCCCACCCACCCCCCTGCTGGCCTGCTGCCCAGCTCGGGGGCATGGGACGAGTGGGCTGGTGGGCTATGGCCATTTGTTCTTGAGGGACAAGAATACAGAAGCATGCCTTTTTTAACCTAAAGATTTTAAAAAGGAGGTTAGGGCTGCCAAGTCGCTGGCCTCACTCTCGTTTTTGCTAGGACTCGTCTCTGATCTCCACTGCCGTGGCAGGCAGGGGTGAGCCTTTGTACACATGCGTGGAGACCTGAGACCGAGTAGGTGGAAAGAGGGGGTCCCTGGCCCTTCCACCCCGCTTCTGTCCTCACCATGTCCCGTGTGCTTGGCCCTGTGCCGAGTGCTCTGCACCAGTTACCTAATCTCCCCAACACACCCAGGAGGTAGATGCTATTCTTGCCCTCTGACGCGGAGAAACAGAGAGGAGACGTGCCAAGTTCAATGTCACGCAGGCAGGGGTGAACTGGCATGGGGCCACAGGTCTTTGTGACCCCAGAGCCCCTGCTCTTGAGAACCACTCTCCTGCCTGGGGTGGGGTCAGAAGAAAAAGTGCGGGTGACCTGGATTCTCTTCACGGCTTCTCCAGGCACACGTCCGCTGGCGTGCGGCCCCAGCTTCCCGACCTGGGCGGCGGAGGATCATAATTCCCACTGCGCGGGCTGCTGCTCGGGTCGGGAAGGAGCTCGGCGGGGAATGTGCATGGATGGGAATGGAGGATGCCTTCTGGGCGCGTGAGGGGCTGCTGCCCTCTAGATCGGTAGCTCCGAACTGGTTTTGAGAAACTCCTCCCTTTGAGCACCTGATAAAAGCGATGATGCACCCTTGCCCCAGAAAAAACAATGCGCGTACCTACGCTCAGGCGCACAGGATGTGCTCCGGGGGGTTCCGGGCCCTGCGCTGCCCCATCCTTGGCCTGGACCCCTGGTTAGGAGCCTCTGATTTTACACGAAAGCTTAATGCTGCTCTGAGGAGGACGTTGGGCAAGCGTGGCTTTTCTTGTTTTATGGCTGTGGCTCTGAGGGCCTCAGTTCCTTGGGCCAGAGCCCAGGTTCACGGGCCTGTTGAGCCTCCCTGCATGTGTGGGCCCCATCCGTGCTGATTTCCAGGGGAGGCGGGATATGTAGCAGGACTTCCCCAGAAGGTAGGAGGGCAGTGCCCAGCTGGCTGGGAAGGAACCCCCCCTACCCCCGGAGGGAGAGTTAAAATGGAATTAGGTTGCCTAGGCCCACACCCAGCACTCCGGATGTAGTAGGGCTGGGTGGGGCCTTCCAGTCTGTATTTTCGGAAGATTCCCCAGGGGACTCTGCAGCAGCCGGCTTCAGAACCACTGATCTAAGGTCTTTACCTAGATGGAATTTTGTTTCCCTAATGGAGAAATTTTATATCACTTCTTCGCCTCCTGTGTCCCTCCATCCCTTCATTGATCTCTGCATGCCTTCATCCACCCGTCCACCCTGCACATAGTACTTGAACCCTAGCTCCGGACAAGCACGCTAGATGCTGGCGAGCAAGGCAAGCCCCAGCGCGGCACCCGGGGCTTACAGCCTTTCCCCTCCCCGTCCTCCTCTCCCGGGGTGCCTGGAGCCCTTCCCGGATGTGGCCGCTGGACCTGTTTTCTCCCGTAGCGCTTTAGAGAATCCTGACACCAGCTGGGCATGGATCTAAAGGTCTTCCCGTCCACCCCCCTGCCTGAGAGTGGCCGTCCCCTGTCTTCCTCAGATGCCTGCTCCTGCTCCTGGCACCCCTAACTCATTGCAGTTCCTCTCACTTTTGCTTAAATCTACGTCCTGTTCCTGCAGATAACACTTCCAGAGGCCCTGCTGGTACCGGACATTGGGTACCCGGGCACTGGGGGCATAGGGAAGGAAGTAAGAGTCCTGGCACCAGGAACCCACCGTCCGGGTGGGAGTGACAAACAGGTAGGCCAGCAGCCACCAACCTGGGCTACACGTGGAGGGGGAGGATTGTGATATCGTGCTGTAATAAGAAATATATATTTGGTCTTCGTCTCTGGGTTTTGGCACAGAGCTCCTAAAACCCTTGCAATTTCCCAAGTGATAGGGATGCTAATAGCATCTTTTGGTCTAGTATTTGGTCTTTTAACTCAGTTCCTGACACCAAGCTCCTAACTCCCTTGGAGTATATTTTGTCCTAATGAGGCAACTTTTGTGGTCTGCCGTGTGGATGCTGGTCACCAGAAAGACAGAACCGCCATCAAAAGCTTGACACTTTCAGCCCATCCTCCATCCTCCGGGAGAGGTGAGGGGTTGGGGGTTGAGTTAATAGTCGCTCATGCCTACCTGATGAAGCCTCCCTAAAGATCCCTAAAGTTCAGGACCCAGGCAGCTTCCGGGTTGGTGAACGTATGCACGTGCCAGGTGGGTGCGCACCCCAACTCCACGGGGACAAAAGTCTCTGTGCTCAGGACCCTCCCAGACCTTGCCCTACGCACCTATTCACCTGGCTGCTCAACTGTACCCTTTATCACAGCCTTTATTGTACAAAAACTGGTAAATGTGTTTTCCTGAGTTCTGTGAGCCACCATAGAAAATTATTGAACCTGGGGGGGCGCATTGTGGGAACCCTTAATTGCTAGACAAGTGGGGCAGAACTGTGGGTAACCTGGGGACCCACCACTTGGGATTGGCACCTGAGGTAGGGGGACAGACTTGTGGAACTTAGCGCTCAGTCTGTGGGGTCTGCACTCACTCTAGGGAGTGTCGTGATTGCATTGCAAGACACTCAATTGGTGTTCAGAGCACAGAGAACTGGCTGGTATGGAAAATACCTCCTCAGATTTGGTGATCAGAAGCGTTGTGGGAATAATGAAAGAAAAGTGCGTTTTTCCTATGCAGGGGTCCCCTGGGAGCACAGAGGAGGGGACTCAGCGGGGGCGGTGTCTCAGGGAAGGTGACTGGAAGCTTGCCCCTTTCTTCCCATGAGAGACAGGCAGGCGGCACACCTAGGGCAGATCCGTTGCTGAGTGGGGACCCCCCCGTCTGCCCATGAGTTCCGGCCCTCTCTAGCTTTCCTACAAGGTCATATTTCCTGTCTCTCATCCTCCTCATCCTTCTTTGCAGTTTCCCAGGCGGGAAGCCAGTGATGCCGTGCTCGGGAGAGCGGGCATCTGTGCCAGCCTGCAGGCCCCTCGGTGCCTGCCAGCGTCCTCCCCTGCCCGTCAGCCTTACCTGTGTGGCTTGGACCTTCCCACAAGCTTAGGGCAGGGGATCAAAGTTTGGAGGATGTGACAGGTGTGGCCATGTCAAGAACCTGGGCATGGCTCAGTGTGCCTGGGGGCGGGAGGCTCACTTGGCGTGGAAGTCAATTACCCCGGAGTGCTGAGGTCTGGATGTGGCTCTGCCCGGAACTTGCCGTGTGACCTTGAGCACTGTACCCTGAGCAGTACGGAGCTTCGGACTTGAGGAAGTAGAATCTGCCTTTTTACAAGGTCCCCGGAGGATTGGTGTGGACGTTTAAGTTTGGGATCCTGTCCAGGAGACGTTTCTCTTGCCATTAGTGTGTGGCTAGGATGGCAATGGTGGTGACTGCGGTCACTCTCAGACCCCTAGGAGCCTCCTCTGTGATCCCCAAGGGGTTGGACTCCATGGCCTTCGTAGCAAAGAGTCCAAATGGCACTTAGACTCTGGATCTAGCCCCCAGACTGGTTCTGTTTGGACCGTTACCATGCTCAGATTCTTTTGGAATAACATGCCAGTATTTAAAAATTGGGAAATTTCTCATCAATATCTAGACTTCCAGTTTTCCCTGAAAAATAAAATGATGTGGGAAATGAACCACGTTCCACGTGGCAACAATCAGTTTCTCCCTGTGAGCTTAGAAACGTTCAGCCCTTGCCCCAAGTTCTCTTCTCATCACGAACACTTTGAGGATAAAATCTCAAGAGCCTCTTAAAATCTGAAAAGATGCTCAGCCTCATTTTTAATATGACAATTACCAATTAAATTGACACTGTGTTGCCATTTTCCACCTGCCTCACTAGCAAATATAAAAATGTTTGGTAACGTACGGCGTTGACAAGGGCAAAGGAAACCGGTCCCCTTACATACTTGTGGGAAAGTTAAGTTGGCACAATCTCTGAGAGAGACAATCTCTCATTATCTGTCAGAGTTGCCAGACAACACCTACCCCTTGATCAACAACACCAGTTCTAGAAGTTTATCCCATAGACAGTGCACTCATGGGAAGTATAATTCTAATGCTCGAGTATGAGGTTAGTCATTGTGGTGGTGCTTCTACTAATTATAGATTGGAACTACCCAATTGCCCCCCAGTGGGGACTGGCTAGGTAAAGGATAGGACAGCCACACAACCGCATGCTACATAACAAGGAGCTCTTCATGTAAGGACATGGAAGGGCAGCTCCATGGCATATTATTTACTGCGTAAGAGCGGGTGCAGAACAGCACGCAAGGTCCAGTACTGTTTGTGCAGAAAGAGACTCAAGGACCCAGTGGTCATCTCCAGGAAGGGGACTTTGAAGGTTGGGGTACAGGGACAGGAGGGAGCCATTTGTATCTTTTGAACTTTGAACAATGTCAGTGTGTTACCTACTCAGAGAATAAAAAACAAAAAACTTTCAGAGACCTAGATTCTGTGGTTCCAACACCACATGACTCTGTTTTATGACTCGGTGAGCCCAACTTTGATGACTCAGGAAGGCGCATCGCCCATGAAGCCAGCTGCTGATAATCCTTTTCTGGGTCCATCTTCCGGGTCTCTTTGGCCCCACTCTGTCCCCTAGCTGGGCCGCAGCAGCCCCTGTGAGCTTGAGCGGCTCTGGTGGGGGCTCCCAGCGGGGCGCAGCTGCCAAACTCCAACATCTCCTAGCCATTCGGCCCCGAGCCTCTCTCACTTTCTCCGCCTTCTCTGTCCTCCAGGGGCGCCTTCTCGGTGGTGCGCAGGTGTGTGAAGGTGCTGGCCGGCCAGGAGTACGCTGCCAAGATCATCAACACCAAGAAGCTCTCAGCCAGAGGTAGGTGCCTGCCTTCTGCCCTGCCCACCCTCGGGGGCGCTCCTTGCCTTCAGCCCTCCCTCTGCTGCTTGACCTAGAGTCAGGACCCGGGCCTGTGCCCTGGGTAATGCTGATGGCAGGGCTGTGCTTCCTGAGGGTGTGATGAGCTCACACTCCCCTTTTTCTCTCCCAGGGAATCAAGGCTGGAGGCCACAGCCTTTCCCAGACAGGCCGAGCTCTCTGCCCCCGTAGGTGAAGGCTCAGGTGCCAGATGGGGCCTCCTTTCCCTGCTCTCCTGTCACCCCTTTCACCTCTGCCCTCCAGACCTCTGCTCTTGCCATCTGCTCTGCCCGACTGACCCAGCCTGGCTCCTCGCTCTGATGGCCGTTTGTCAGCCTTCAGGCCTTGGCTCGAAGTCACATCCTTTGAGAGGCTTCCCTGACCCCATAAATCTGAGGGGCCTCCCCATTGTCTGTCTGTCATTACTGTTTCTTTCCCTCGTGGCGTTCCCTGGCCTAGACTCATCCTGTCTACCGGCTAGTTCCTTGTTTAACATCCGTCTCCCCTTGGACCCTAAGCTCCCAGAGCACGGGCGGCTCTGGGCCCAGCACCTAGGACAGCGCCGGGCGCTCGGTGCCCAGGGAGCGTCTGGCGAACTCCAGGTGTGGCCGCTTCACCCACACCAGGCGCTCTCTGGCCCCTAAATAGTATGTCTGGGGTGTGACCTAGGTTTTGGAAAAGATACCCAGGAAGTTCTAATTGGCACACAAGTTTGGGAACCACTACCCTAGGATCTTGGACCAGCGGCACCCGCATCACGGGAGCTTGTTAGAAATGCAGCCTGAGCCCCGCCACAGACTGCAAGGCTCTGAATCTGCATTTTAATGAGATGCTTGCATGATTTATATGGACATTAAGGCTTCGGAAGCCCTCCCGGCAGATGTGCTTCTTGCCAACAGTGTGTGTTTAGGACAGTCACGGTGGTGGCCACAGTCAAGGTGGTGGAGAGGGTTATTATCCCCACCCCAAGTGAAACAGGGCACAAGCTTCCCTGGGCACTGCCTGGTGGTGGCAGTGAGTCTGTTGGGTGAGGTGGTGCAGTGTGGGCCGTGTAGCCCCTGGCTGGCATGAGGGATGTTGTGTGAGGGGCCGGCAGAGTGCCCAGGTGTTTGACAGGTCGCAGCTGTGTCTGGGCCAGGGCCCAGCGGGTGTGGGCTCACAGAGGTCCTGCGCAGCGGCTGGTACACGATCACGCTGTGCCCCGCAGGCCTCCCTGCAGGCCTGTGTTGGACTGCGTGTTGTTGCCTTTCATCTCTGCTCATATTGCTGGGAGCTCAGCACTTTCTTCTAGTTACCAACCTCCCCCCGTGTCTTGCAGGGAAAAGAGGCAGGGCAGAGGGGCAGAGGGGGCGGCTGGGGGTTAAGGTAGGGGTCTCTGAAGGCCCAGGGCCCTCGGAGGGAGGCACACTGTCAGTGTGAAAAGGCCAGACTCATGCCAGGTCCAGAGCTAGGGCAGGGGGCCTGGTCGGGCAGGAAGGGGGCCTGGATCCGTCTTGTTCTTGCCGTGTGACTAGTGGAGATCTGGTAATCTCTTGGAGCTTTGTTGTCTCTAGTGATTAAGCAAGTTGTCCCAATCCCTGAGCTACAGCTGGACAGCACTAGGGTCATGACTTGGGGGTGATGGGTTGAGGTTGCCCCAAGGGGAGGGAGGGTCAGAACCGAGGTCCTCCCTGGATGCTGGGATCTCAGGCTAGTTCACCACACTAGGGAAGTGCAGCGGCCATTGCTCCTCTTTTGGGAGGTGACCAAGCAACCCTGGGACAGTGTAGACCTTGGGACATGCCAGGCTGTAGTCACCCAAGCCCCTCTCTTTGGCGATTTGTTGAGCCTTTGACTTCCTGGAAGGAAGTTGGCCCAGGCCTAGGTGAGTGTGGAGGGTTGGGGTGGGGAGATTATCAGGGAACCTTCCGGAAAAGTCTGCCAACTGCCAGCTGCTTTTCTCCCTAGCGGGAGAGGAGGAGCAGAGCTTCTTTTAGCAGGATTCTTTGTTTGCCACTCATGGTGCCTTGGGGGCGGGGGGGAGGGGGGTTAATGCTGAATATTTGGCAACACACTTAAACCGTCTCCTGCTGGCATCCTTGGGTGACTTCCCGGCAGCTCCCAGCAGGGGCTGTGCCCCCCGGGGGCCTCTGTCCACCCCTCCCAGGGAGTGGTGGCTTCCCTTTGCCCATCCTGTGCAGCCTCTTCTATCGAGTCGTTCCCAAACCCAGGAGATATTTTTATCTATAGTTTTAAACCTGTCTTTTAAAAAAAGCTCATAGTATAAACAGTTCAAAGAAACTATAAAGAAATGAAACAAAAAGTTATAAAAGTTTGTCTGTCCCAATCCCTGCCAAATCCCCTCTAGAGCTTTTTGAAAAAAATGCAACTGCCTGGGTTCCAGCCCCGAGGGTCGGATCCAGTAGGTGAGGCCCCAGCACCGCACTCGTAGAATCCTGTCGCCAGTGGCATTAGCTAACAGGGGCTCAGGCTCGCCCCGCCAGGGCGCACGCATGGTTAACATGTTAGGGCACTCGGGGGGCACGCAGCTGGTACAGCCAGCCAGAGGCAATGGCCTGGGGACTGTGACCTCTGCAAGCCCCACTGTCCACTCAGGCCTGGCACTCTTGGTGCCGGGATTATTTCTCTGACCTCTCAGGATCTAGAGCCCTGCTGATGCCCTGTGCGGGGAGGGGGCACTTCCTGTTCCCAGACTTGAGGTCTCTTTTCTCCCCTGGCTCCTGTGCCCGCCTGCCTGCTGCAGCCCACCCCTGCGGAGGCAGAGCCCTGCAGTGGGCTTGATTGCACCTATTCCTGGGCCCTGAGCTGTCCTGCGGGGACTGTCTGGCCCCAGAGACCTTGCCCACCCTTGCTCAGCAGGCAAGGGTGAGTGTCCACCCACCCTTGCCTGCTGAGCTCTGGGCAGGGCTGTGCCCCTGACCCCAACACCCTGGAGGTGACCCAGCCATCCAGCGGGGAGAAGATGTCATCGTGGGCATTAGGATAACCCTCCCAGGTGCCCAGACAAGAGGCTGGAGGCTTCTGTCTTCCCTCAGACCTTTCAACGTGTGCAACTCTGCTGAGCTGGATGGATTGATTCAGCAATTAATTAATTATTAGGATGGGAAGCAACAGAGTCTAGTCATTATGCACATAGATTGAAATCCCAGCTCTGCTACCTGTTCACTCAGGGGCCCGGGACAAGCTGCTTAGCAGCTCTACGCCGGGCCCTGAGGACATGGCAGTGACCAGCAGACAAGATCTTGCTCTCGTTGTGCCTGTTTTCTAGGGAGTGACACTGAAAAGAACAGGAAACATGAAAATCAGGTGGGTAGTTTTAGGTGTTGACAAGTATGATAAAGAAAATAAGATGGTGTAAGGGGGAAGCGGTGAGGCAGGAGGGACTGGCTTAGAAAAGGCAGCCAGGGAAGCTCCCCGAGGAGGTGACGTGCAGGGACTGGCCTGATGAGGAGGAGGCAGCTGTGGGAAGACCCGGGGAAGGGCCTTCTGGCAGAGGGCACAGCAAGTGCAAAGGCCCTGAGGTGTGCGGGAGCTCCTCGTGCCTGAGGCCAGAGAAGAGGCCAGTGTGGCTGGAGCTTCGTGGTGGAGATGAGGCAGGACCCAGCAGGGGCTTGCTGGCTGTGGCGAGGAGTCTGGGTGGCATCATAAGTACTTTGGGAAGCTGTTGGAGAGTTAGAAGCCAGGGAGTGATAAGATTCAATTTACATCCTAAAATCACCTCCGCAGCCGCATGGACAATTGGGGGAGTGTGGGGTGTATAGTCCCGGAGTTGGGGCCTCGGAGCCCTGAGTTCTAATGAGGCTCGGCCAACCCGACTAGTGATTTTGATGGAGGGCCTGCTCTTTTATCATCGTGCCTCAGTTTCCCCACCTACATAACAGAGCAAGGCTGCAGACAGAGATCAAAAGAAACATGGTCCCTATATTACACGAGGTTCTCTGTGTATGAGAAAATGGAAACATTGCAAACAGAGTTACAGAAATTATCGCACACTGTATATGTTTACATTCAACAGATTAATACTTTTCACAGTGAAAGTTACAACACAGGGTAATCGTGCTAGGTACAAGATGATGAAAAGATTTATAAAAACAATTCCTAGTGTTTTCAGCAGCGAGGCCTGGTAACCAGACACAAGCTTAAAGTGCCATCAACGTCCTCTTTTTTCAGTCCTGTCGGTGTATTCTGTTCCTGGGTAACTTCACAGCGAGGAAACAGCCAAATTCCGGATTTGGGCCCCTGGGCCCTGGAAAGTGTAGCCTAGGCCAGGAGGCCGCTCCCTGTCTGGCAGGGCTGACCTTGATCTGCCTGGCTTCTGGTTCTTCGGGGCTGGGATGGTGTGGGATGGGGTGTGTGTGGGGGGGGCAGCCTTTCCTGCCGAGGGCCCAGCCAGGCCGGTCCCCCTCCTCTGCCCATGAGCCCTCATCCCCTGCCCTGGAGGACAAGGGGGGAGGGGAATCAAAGGACTGCTCCCCACCCTGCCCCACCTGCCCTTCCCTGGCTTGTAGCCGGTCTTCACCTGGGAAGTTGAGCCTATGGAAACAGAACTGGACTTCGCTTTTAGAAAAACCACCTTTCAGGATTGATCCTGGCTTCTGCAGCCCTTAGAGGCCAGCCAGTGATTGCACCAGTGGAGGGGCAGGGGAGAGTGGAACTGGGTGCTTGGAGGCAAGGGCTGGGACTTTCTCTGTCCTCATCACCCTCCAGGGGCCACTCGGAGACCAGGCTCCTAGTCCTGGCTGTCCACATGGCTTCCCACCCATGGGCCTTGATGTCCCCATTCAGGAAGTGGGCGCAGGTGGAGGTGGAGGTTATGAGTCGGGGCGTGGAGAGCAGTACAGCACAGGCTGTAACGCCCTGCTCTGGATGGAGTCCGACCACCTGGGTGCAAAGCGTGGCTCCACCACTCACCATGGGAGTGACTTTAGGCAGGTACCCAACCTCTCTGAACCTCTGTTTCCTCCTCTGTAAAGCCAGAAAAATGACAACATCTCCCGTAAATGTTCATGGTGAGGGCTTAAAGGCATATAAAGCACTCTGCACGGCGCCTGGCACAAAGTAAATATTATGCACGTGTTAGTGGTTTCCTTTTTTACTGTTTTTGGGTTTTGTTTTTTTAAATTAAAGCATCAACTACCAAATTGTGCGGAAAGCACCAAAAGGGAATTGGGAAATGCATTTTCACCCCCAACTCTGCCCTCCTCCCCAGGCCTCAGTTCGCTCAGGCTGCAGTTTCCTCATCTATAAAATGGGGACAGTGATGCCACAGCCCAGGGGTGTTGGGGCTACTGAGTGGGGTCATGGGTCTGGCTGTTTCCCAGCAGCCTGGGGGGCAGAGGTCACAGGGGGCAGATCCTGAGCAAGGCCTCTCTCCCAGGCATGTGGGGGCCCCTGGGTGATACGGGTGGAAGTCTAGGAAGGCAGAGTGAGGGTGCTGGGTCAGCCCTGGGGCTGCCGCACACGAATCTCCCCTGTAGATTCTCTGGGGCTCTCTGCGTTCTTGGTCCCAGAGTCCTCTAAAAGGAAAGTGGCTCCTGGGAATTGATTCTGGTCTTCTGGAGAGAGTAGCCACTCCTTCAGATAGGTGCATTCATTCAGTCCTTTGTTCCTTCATTCAGTGATTTCTTGAGCATCTCCTAAGTGCTAGGCATTCAGGCAGCTGCCAGGGGTACAACAGAGACCAAGTCCCTGCCCTCAAGGATCTAGATGTCCATGACACAGCATGGAGTGTGCTGTCTGGGGGCCCTGAGAGCACAGAAGAGGGGGCCCTGCCCACCTGGCAGTCAGGGCAGGCCGCCAGGGGCCGGGGACATCAAAGGACAGGCAGGAGTGAATGACAGGTGGGAGGACGAGGGACTATTTCAGGCTGAGGGAACTGCATGTGTGATTGTTTTTCTCCCAGAATGAGCAGGCCCGGGGTGTGCTTGTGGAAGGAAGTTCCGCCACCAGGCTGGCTGGAGAGCAGGGCCCGAGGGCAGGCCTGGAATGGGGAGCAGGAGCCAGACCTGGGGGAGCTCTGGGCTGGCTGGAGCTCCGGCCTTTACAGGAAGGGCTTTGGAGATGCCCCTCCTTTGAGAGCCCTGCAAACAGAGGCCCCGGAGAGGGGCAGGGATGAACCTTAGCCACTGAAACGCAGGCCTCCCCCTCTTTCCACTGCGCCCCTGCCTTCCTGGAGAGCTCAGAGTCCCTGGCCAAGAGGGGAGCTTCTCTGCCCAGGAGGCAGAGCTAACCAGCGGCAGAGAGGAGGGTGGGACAAGGGTGGAGGCTCCTCCCTCACCTGGAACTCACCTGAGCGTCTGTGTTTCAGACCATCAGAAGCTGGAGCGTGAAGCCCGCATCTGCCGCCTGCTGAAGCACCCCAACATCGGTGAGCCCCGGGGACACGTGGGGGTGCAGGCCAGCCCTGCTCCTGCCCATCCTGGCCCGTGGGTGTCTGGGGGTGGGGTGGAGAGCAGCTGCTCTCTTCTCAGGGGTGGAGGCAGTGGAGATGGGAAAGGGGGCGTCTTTAATGGTTTCCACATTCCTCAGAGCCAGCTTGTTTCGGGGGAAGGTGAAGAAAGGGCCCTTCCTCCCATCCCACACTGCCGGCAGCCTCCTTCGGAAAAGCTGTTTCAGGAAAACTCCTAAAGCTCTGGGAGAGATGAAAATAGGCCGGCCGGGGCGGGGCTGGGGGGAGGGGGAAGCCTGGCCTTGGCCGGGGAGGCCCACTCCCCAAACCCACCGCCATGTGCAGTCCGCCTGTGCCCACCTCCCCAGCCCGCTGAGGCCAGCTCCGACTTGGGCCTGCCCCAGGGCGGACGGAGCGCAGGCTGCACAGAGAGGCTGGGCCCTCGCTGGGCTGGGACAGAGCCAGGGTGGCAGCACCCATGGGGACAGGTCCTCAAACAGCACCTCACTGACCTCCCCTCCCACCCCCAGTGCAACCGGGGGGCTGATCCCTGCCTGTCGGGGTCCAGAGTCATGACGGGAGGAAGTGTGGCTTTGAGATCTAGTTCTGTCGGGGAACGGCCGTGTGAGGTTGGGCAGGAGCATTACCCTCTCTGCGTCACTTTCCCCATCTTCACAAAGAGAGGGCTCTCTTTCTTCAAGCACTTGGGCATCTGGGAAAAGGTAGGCTCTGACTCAGTGGTCTGAGGCTCTGCAGTCCTGGCATGTTCTGAAGCCGTGCCAAGGCTGGAGGGGGAGGCCTAGGTGGTCTCTAAGGACTGCTGCCACTCTGTCAGCTGCCACGCCTTCTCCCCGGGGAGGGAAACCTCTCTCCATGCCCAGGGCCCCAAGGGTTAACGCTCCTGCCAAAGCGTCTCCATCTGCTATTTATACCCCAAAGGCACCTCCCCTTCCCTGCACAGACAGCGAGGCTCCAGGGCCTGGGAGAAGAGGCAGCGAGGAGGCTGGCAGGGAGGAACCCTGGTTGAACCCTGGTCCCTGACCTGCTAATGTCCTTTTTGTGTGGCCTTGGGCCGTCTCTGCCGACCCAGGGCCTCCAACTCCCCAAGCGTGTGATGGGAGGGTTTGTGAGTGATCTCCGACTGTAAAATTCCATGGCTCTTAAAGACCGTCAGCTCCAGAGGAAGGAGGCGGGCAGTGTGTGTGTGTGTGTGTGCGTGTGTGTGTGCGTGTGTGTGCGTGCGTGTGTGTGCGTGCGCCGCACAGTCGCAGCTGGCTCAGGTCAACACTGCCTCCTCCTGTTTGTGCCTCCCTCTCCCCCTCATTCCCAGCTGTGATGGGGAGCAGCAAGTTATGGGTTCCCGAGCGGACAGACTATAGCTCAAATCCCGGGTTTGCTGCTTAATTGCTGTGTGCCCCTGGACATGTTGCTTAACCACTCTGAAGCTTAGCTTTATCTGGAAAGTGGAAGCGATACCCACCTCATGGGACTGTGATGGTAAAATAGAGCGTAGCATAATGACAGTCCCGAGGCAAGTGCTTTATCATCATTAAGCTGCCCCCATTTTCCCCAATCTACACCTTCCTGTAGAACAACCTTAACTGAAGACGTCCTCGTGCCTGAAACTCCGTAAGATTGTTGCTTGTCTGAGTGATCAGGATTTTGAGACATCACTGAAACACTATATATACCATGGTGGTTAAGAGAATGGGTTTTGCAGTCAAGACACACCAGGTTTCAATCCTAGCTCTGCTGTTCACTAGCTGTTGGATCTTAGGCAGGCTCTGAACCTCTCTGAACTTCAGTATCCTCCTCTGTGAAGTGGGGATAATCACAGTACACACCTTCTTGGACTTTTGGGAGGGTTCAAGGTGATAGTGCAAATAAAGCACCTAGTACAAAGCCTGGCATGTGATAAAAGCTCACAAATGGTAGCTATCATCTTTGTCACCATCATCATCACCTTCCTTCATTCATTCGCCATTGTCAAGTGCCTGGTGGACCCACCACACGTCAAGGCGTCTGCTAGGCACGGAGATGTGGGGGGGAAATGAGGATGGGGCGTGGGGGTGGGGTGGGCTGGTTGACACACAGTGAGCAGGACAGCAGAGATGGGCATCCAGCACAGGGGCACTCTCAAAAGATCTTTGAGCTATTGCCTGGGCTGGAAGGGTGCTTGAGGGGTGCACCTTCCTGGTCCTCCAAGCATCTCATGTCAAAGTAGGTTGTAATCTTTCCAAGGAAGTGCAAAGAGAGGTATAAGTGTGAGTGTCGAACCTAAGAGGTGAGTGTATTCCTAGAGAAACCGCACTGAGTCCTATTCAGCTTGCTTGGTGCATCCAGACAAGATTACTGGTCGCTGCCTACGCAAGGCCACCGCCCAGCCCCAAGCGGCTCAGGGCAGGGAGGTCCCTGGCTCAGCACGGGTCAGTCCGGCTGTGCCGTGCACAAAGCATTAACCTCCCGGATCCTGCCTGGGGGAAGACAATGCCCTGCTCTCTGGGGTATTATGCCATCACCACCCTCGGATGGGGCAGACCCCACTAGGTCACCCCAGGGTGCAGGGGACTTGGGCTGTGCTAGGGACAACCTGAGAGTTTAGTAGGTGATTTGGGGCGGAGAAGGGAAGTGTGGTTGGTCAATGATGAAGACGACAATATGGTCATTTATTGAGCTTTTCCTGGTGCCAGGCACTGTGCTAGGTGCTTTACGAGAAGTGTCACAATAATTACCCACCCCAGTCCAATAGTATTAGTGGCGCTGTTAGGAATGGGGGCTCAGAGAGGTTAAGTCATTTGCCCGTAGTAACACAGCTAATAAGAGGTGGATCTGGGAGGTGGACCCAGCAAGTCTGACCCCAGGGCCCGAGTTCTCATCGTATTAGCCTCCCAAGTGGACACCACAGTGTGGTGTCAGGGGCACCCGCAGATAAGGGAACAAGTGCTATTTTTCAGCCTCCAAGACAGAAATCGTGACTGTCAGAAATACCACAGGAGTGTCAGAAATTCATGAATCCGGCTACATAAATGAAAACTAGGTTACAGATTTGTTTGTTCTGTGACAATATTTTAAAAAAGTCAAAAGTGACAGCATAATTCAATGGGCACAGACATGCCAGTCACCCCGCCAGGAGGCAGGACTGTTACCAGAGCCCAGGGCCCTTGAATCCTGCCTTCCGCCTTGGGCTGAGTCGCTCCTCAGGGCAGCCGCCATGCACGGGAGGGGAGGCTGTGTGAACTAAGCTGACACCAGTACTGTGGCACAGGCGGGGCACTGCCTAAGTGGGGGCGCAAGTCCAGCCCGTGTGCCCCTCACCTGGCTGCTCAGAGGAGCAGCCTTTTATGATGAGCACAAAGGCACCCTCCGAGTGAGAGTCAGCCCTGGAGAACACCTCCGTCCATTCTGGACCTTTCCCTGAGCCCTGAGGACCTTCTCCAAAGGGGCTGGGGTCTCTGGTCAGAGGGAGGATCTGGGACTCCCGTCTTCTTGGGGCTCCTTTCAAAGGCTGTTGAGCTGGCTCTGAAAACCCTTCCTGAGATGAGTCTGGCTGCAGCGTGGCTTTCCAGAGCTCCTCGATGCGGGAAGGGGAGGGCACAGACCGCAGCCCGCCCGCCAGAGTGGACAGGAAGGGATCCACTCTCCAGGAGGCCACTTGGGGGGAGACGCAGAGAGCAAAGGGTCTTCATCAAAACTTTACCTGGATACACTGATGATGCAAGTTTATTGTAGATAAATGAGAAGACAAATACTTTTTTAAACGTATCTCCTACAACCTCACCACCTAGGGCAGTGGTCCTCAACCTTTCTGACATCGGAGACAGTTTTCATGGAAGACAGTTTGCCCATGGACAAGGTGGAGCTCGGGTGGTAATGTCAGCAATGGGGAGCGGCTGTAAATAGAGATGAAGCTTCCCTCTCACAGCTCCTGCTGTGCACCCCTTCCCCCTTCCCGTTCCTAACTTTCATGGAAGACAAATTTTCCATGGCTGGGGCAGGGCAGGGTGGTGGAGCTCTGCAGCCCAGTCCCTAACAGGACATGGACCAGCACCATTGGGGACTGAAGACCTACAGCTACCATTTTATGATATACGCTTCTACATGATATATGTGCACCTTTTCAAGTACGGTGCAGCTACACACAGCATCTCAGGCCAGGTGTCCCAGGAGCACAGCCTGAGAGAGGGAGGCAGGGGTGCCATTAGCAGCCGACACTCCCAGCAGCTGGGGAACAGAGGCATTAACTTACCAAAGGGATCTGGGCAGGACACAGATGTATTGCCAGATTTTACACACAAAGAATACAGTTAAACACACATACACATTTTACAAATTAAGCCTGCATTTATTCTGAAATGCAGTAAAAAGTTAAAATAAATTAATGCACAGAGGAATGGGTAGAAATGTAGTAAAGCAAGTACAGGAAAACATTCATGATAGAATCAAGATTCTAGGTGGTGGGTGTATGGGTCCTCCCTTAACTGTATGTCTGAAACTTTTTATAATAAAATGTTGAGGCCGGGCTTGGTAGCTCACGCCTGTAATCCTAGCACTCTGGGAGGCTGAGGTAGGTGGATCGTTTGAGCGCAGGAGTTCCAAGACCAGCCTGAGCAAGAGCGAGACCCCGTTTCTACTAAAAATAGAAATTAATTGGCCAACTAAAAATATATAAAAAATTAGCCGGGCATGGTGGCGCATGCCTGTAGTCCCAGCTACTTACTTGGGAGGCTGAGGCAGGAGGATTGCTTGAGCCCAGGAGTTTGAGGTTGCTGTGAGCTAGGCATGGCTCTCTAGCCAGGGCAATAGGGTGAGACTCTGTCTCAAAAAAAAAAAAAAAAAGAAAGAAAAAATTACCAGTCAACTAAAAATAGAAACAAAAAATTAGCTGGGCATGGTGGCTCACGCCTATAGTCCCAGTTACTTGGGAGGCTGAGGCAGGAGGATCACTTGAGCCCAGGAGCTTGAGGTTGCTGTGAGCTAGGCTGAAGCCATGGCACTCTAGCCTGGGCAACAAAGTGAGACTCTATCTCAAAAAAATAAAAAATAAAATAAAATGTTGATAAGAAATTAAAGTAGTAGTACATTATATGTGTTCTTAAGATTTTACTTTAAAATATATTTAAAACATCTTTCGCTTATTCTTTATAAATGTGTCATCATTTTAAAATGTTTTAAACTTTTATTTAAGTCTGTGCCCCTTCATCCTCCATCTCTAGTCCCCTTTCCCCTGTCCTATGAGGCCCTCAATCTGGGCATGTGATGCCCACCTTTTGGTCCACTCTGCAAATTTTCTGTGCAAATATGAGAGCCATGAGCAACTCAGGGACTCACTACAAATCAGTCAGAAATACATGCACATGGCAAAAATTCAGATGGCGGTAGACGTCACCATGAAAAGTGAGTCTTCACCCATGACCCAGCTCCCTCACTTCCCCTCTCACTCTGTTGCCCAGGCTAGAGTGCCATGGTGTCAGCCTAGCTCACAGCAACCTCAAACTCCTGGGCTCAAGCAATCCTTCTGCCTCAGCCTCCCGAGTAGCTGGGACTATACACATGCGCCACCACGCCCGGCTAATATATATATATATATATATAAAATATATATATATATATTTTTTATTTTTTTGAGTTGTCCAGATAATTTCTTTCTATTTTTTTAGTAGAGACAGGGTCTCGCTCTTGCTCAGGCTGGTCTCGAACTCCTGAGCTCAAACAATCCACCCACCTCGGCCTCTCAGAGTGCTAGGATTATAGGCGTGAGCCACCGTGCCCGGCCAGGCTTCTCTGTGTTCTTGCAGGGAGACTTACGCCATATGTAAACTTAGATACATCCTTTTAAAAAACTACTACACATACTGTTTTGCACTTGGCTTTTTCGCCAAACAACATAATTTGGATACATAACTGCTGCATTATTTTAACAGCTGTGTCATTTTCCATTGTGCGGATGGATCATAATTCGCTGAGCCAGCACCCCACCCGTGGGCATTTTGAGGTTGGGGTGCAGGGAAGGATGTGAGCCCGTCCTGTGAGAACTTGCCCCAGGATGGCAGGGTGCGGCCCCCAGAGTCAGCCCCAGGCCTTGGGCCCTTCCTTGCAAAAGCCCAGGGTCTGACGTTGGACCTTGGGAGCTTTGCCTCCGTTCTTGGTAAATGGGGTGTGAAGAGATGACAGTTTCTCGGCATGCCAGAACTCAGGGACCTTGTCACTCCTGCCTCCAGCCTCCACTCTCTGTTATGTCCTCAGACCTGGGAGCAGAGCAGGGACATTATTAGCTCGGGGCGAGCACTGAGTGAGCGCCAACTGTATGCCTCACGGAACTCTCTCAACAAACCTGCAAGTGCAGGAGTTTCGTTCTCATTGTTCAGGCAGAGACAGAGAGGCTCAGAAAGACCTAGCAACTTGCCCGAAATCACACAGCTAGGAAATGGCAGATTGGAGCCACAGGCTCGTTCTGTGACTCCAGCCTGCCTGGCAACAAAACTGAGGGTTGCAGAGGAGAGGGGACCACACTCGGACCCAAACAGGCATCTTTGTTTAGCTTTGAAGCCCAGGCTTCTTGCAGGAATGCCCGAGGCCTGTGTGTACTTGTGTTGAGCTCTTGCTCACCCGCATTTGTCCGAGTGCCCGGACCTAGTCTGTGCTCACTGCCTGTCTGGAGAACTGGGATGTTGGCTATAGGAGGGGTGGGAGGGCGGGGGCGGTGGGGAGCGGTGTGGCCTGGTGTAACCGACTGCCTCTGCCCTCCTGCAGTCCGACTCCACGACAGCATCTCGGAGGAGGGACACCACTACCTGATCTTTGACCTGTGAGTCTGCCCCTCCCACCAGGATGTGCCACGGGTGTCAGGGGTGGCCTGAGCAGGGGTGACCTCGCTGGGCCCCTGGGCCTGGAGGGCTCCAGATGCCGTTAGGCTGGGCTGAATTCCTTCTTTTCATCCACAGCTTCCCCAAATGTGGTAGGCCTGCCACCCAAGCAGTGCAAGTTGGTTTTCCTGAAACACCAACAAACATTTTTAGCTTTCATCCTACATTTATTTTTGTTTCTCTTCTATTTGTGGCCAGTGATGCTGGTTTTCCATTTGCAGTGGCAATATAAAGTTTCCTTTTGGAATATGTTTGATTTTTTTAAAGATAGTCGATTGGCAGAAGAGCAGTGATGCATTGATAGGCCCCAGGGGTTCCTGGGTGGCAGTGGCAGTCAGCGATGGGGCTGGTCCAGGTGAACAGCCTGGACATGTTGACGATTGGGGAGGCTGTGGGCTTCCTAACGAACCCAGTGATGATGCGTTCTGAGTGTCACACACCTCTGGGGTGCAGCCTGGGCCCAGCAGGGGAGAAGGACAGGGGTGGAGAAGGAGAGGGGAGGGGAGTCAGCCGGAGGATGTGCTGGAAGACGAAGGGGATTGTAACAGGGGCACCCCAGCGACCCTGGGGCCCCTCCTTTTGTGGCTGAGGTCCTGAGGTCTCTAGACCCCATCCTTAGCTTCCTGCCTCTGTGGAAGGGTGATTCTGTGCCTGTCTCCCCAGGGTCACCGGTGGGGAGCTGTTCGAAGACATCGTGGCCCGGGAGTATTACAGCGAGGCGGATGCCAGGTGAGTGCCAGGTGCACCTGGGCATCAGGCACTCTCGCCCTCTGTCAGCTTCCCAGGGGAGGCCTGTGCTCGCACCGCTGTGACCCCTTCCTCTCTTTCTCCCTAGTCACTGTATCCAGCAGATCCTGGAGGCTGTGCTGCACTGCCACCAGATGGGGGTGGTGCACCGGGACCTGAAGGTGAGCAACCCACGCGGGTGCGGCTCACCCCGGGAGGCTGCCCACCCCAGGAGCCTGCCCACCTCTGAGCTTCCCTCCTGCAGAGCCGAGTATTGCCAGAATCCTTGTAATGTCCCCGAGTTAGGCTAGAAGGGGGGTGGGTAGGAATATTTTCCCACCATTCAGATGAGGAAACTGAGCTCAGGAAGGTAGAGCACTTGGGTTTGGGTCCCTGGTCTCCCATCTCCCAGCCCATGTGCTTTGTGCCATGCCAGGCGAGGTGCGGTTGGGCTACCACGACTGGCTACGGTGGGCTAGGGATGAAGGTAGGCCGGGGCCCAGGCCCAAGCAGGCCACTTGCCAGCCGCGCAGTCTAGAGTGTCCTGACCCCCCCGAGCTGCAGCTCCTTTACTATGGCGTTGCCATAGCAACCCCCCAAGGGGTTGGTGAGGATGTCAAATGAGATAGCACAGTGCCTGGTATACAGACACGCTGTTACTTTTGTTCCTGGGTCTCTGGCTGGCTGGGAGAGAAGAAAAACAGGACTCTGGGCCCTTGCAGTCCTCCCTCTTCCCACCTGAAGAAGGAGATGGACAGGACTAAGCGGGTGTGGAGTCTGGACTGGCACTAGTTGCCCGGCAATTGCCCTGACAGCTTGGTCGTCGTGGATCGCCTCTGCTGGGCCTCAAGGCATCAGCAGCTGGTGCTCATATCATCCCTGTTTTGCAGAGCAGGAAACTAGGGCCTAAAGAATCCAAGGGACTGGCCCACGGACATGCCATTCAATTGTCCTGAGCTAGGATGAGAGCACCCTGGCTTTCTAACCCCAGATCCAGCGACCTTGGGAGTCTGGTGTGAAAAACCCACTCTATCTAGCTCATGCTTCTGTGGCAGCCCCATCTAGGGTGACACTGCCAAGCATCCAATGAACCTTTGCTTTTTGACCTTCGGAGACAACGAGCTCACTTCCCATGGGGTAGCCCCCTACCCATTGGGGAACACTCCTTCCGTCTTGCCTGCCATGGAGCTTTGCCCTGAACCTCAGTTCTGCCATTTGGAACCACAAAGAGATCAAGCCTCTAGCTCAGGACAGCCCTAGAGGGACTGGGGCAGCCTTGTCATAGCTCCTAAGTCTCCTGCAGGCAGTGTGCCACTATTCCCACCCAGGACGTGGTTCCCAGGCTCTCCCCATGCTGGGCACCCCGCATGGGCATGCTCCAGTCGGTCCAGCTCCCTCTTCGGGCACAGCGCCCTGAATGGAACCCCTGCCCACCTCTGACTGTCACGGACAGCCCATGGCTTCTCACCTGAGCTCCAGGTGAGCTCCCTGTGGCTCCGTCTAGACACTTAGGCAAGTGTACACTTGAAGAGGGTCTCTGGCCAGACTGCAGGGCGGCTCTCCCTGAGGGCCTGTTCCCGTTATGGCTACAGCCCCTGCACGGGAGGAGGAAGGAGGAGAGGCAGCCCAAATTTAGGCCACTCTGGATACACTAATTAGTGACACATTCATCAAATCAGGGCAGGCGGCTACTGAGACCCAGGACACGTTGGGAACGCAGTCCCCAGAGGACAGAGGAGGCCTTATCAAGCCAGGCAGAGGGAGCTATGCGTGTTTGGGTGCATCCTAGCCTGGGACAGTGAACGGTGACAGGTGGGACTCCCTGGAAGTCTCCCTGGGGATGGGGGTCAGAGGAGGACTGGAAACCAAGACTCTAGAGAGTCCGAGCCCCTCCCCAGGTGGGAAACATGAATCCCGGGGTTGATCAGGTGCTTGCCGTAGGCCGCTGTGAAGTACTTTACAACAACTGTCTTAATTAATCCATGTACCGCCCCATAAGGTAGGTAGCTTTCCGAGAGGAAACTAAAGCCCAGAAAGTGAAATAATTTGCCAAAACTGCACAACACAGAGGTGGCGGCACTGGGATTAGAAGCCAGGAGTACCTAAGTGCAGAGCCCACACTCTTAGCGTCCCTCTGTCCTGAGCCCCCCGGGGTGGAAGAGGGCCAGCAGGAAGTGGAGGAATTTGGGGGCCCTGAGCCGGTGAAAGGCAGCACCTTGATGCCCCAGACGCCAGGCGTAGGGCTGTCCCCAGGGTGGCTGCTGGTCCCTGGTGTAAGCGCCACCATCTTTCAGCCTCGGGTGGTTAAGATCGAGTGGAGTCAGACTTCCCCTCTATGCTGGCTCTGTCACTTGCCAGCTATGTGATCTTGGTCAAGTCACTTAACCGCTCTAAGCCTCAGTTTCCTCATCTTTATTTATTTTAAAAAAATGTTTTTTTTAATAAACACGAGGTCTCACTGTGTTGCCCAGGCTGGTCTTGAACTCCTGGCCTCAAGCAACCTTCTTGCTCAAAGTGCTGGGATGACAGGCATGAGCCTCCGTGCCTGGCCATCATGGTTATACATGCGATGGATACTTACTGAATGCCTGCGATGTGCCCCGCCCCCACCCCAGTCCGAGCTGCTGGTGATACAGTGGTGAACAGGACACTTAAGGGTCTCACATTCCGCAGGGCTGACAGATCAACTGAGCAAGCACATAGACAGATGGGGGGAACGTTGCTAATTACAAAGAGACCTATGAAGGCAACAACAGGAAGCAAGACAGAGGATACCTGGGGCCTCCTCCTTTATACAGTAGTCAGGGAGGGCCTCTTTGAAGGGATGACGTAAGAGAGCTGGACAAACAGAAAGGACCAGCCCTGTGGAGTTCATGGAGAAAGCAAATCAGGCAAGGGAACAGGAAGTGCAAAGGCCCTGAGGTAGGAACAAGCGGGACTATGTCAAGGGGCGTCGGAAGGCCGCTATGGGAAATGGGCATCTCACCTACCCCAAAGGGTTGCTGAGATGATACACGAGACAGTGTGTGCAGAACACTTAGCCCAGTGGCTGGCACGTAGTAGGGGCACAATAAACATTGCTGTTTCTTTCTTATTGTGATGGTGGTTGTACCTCCAAGACCCCGGCCCCCACGCTCACCTCAGCCCCAGCTCCAAACCCTGAGGGGAGGGTGCGAGGGGTTACTGGTGGAGGAAGAAGGGTCTTTCTGTTGTAGCGGATGGGGGTCTTGTCATAAAATAGTCCCCTCTCTGGGGACTGAAGCTCAGGATTCGGTGGCTGGGGCTAGGGGTGGGGCCGGGGGCCTCTGGAGTGTCCAGCCCAGGCCCCCAGAGGTGAGGTTCTGCACCTGCTGACTATCTGTCTCTTGGCCCTTTCATCTCCATTCTCCCTCTTCTCTGCTCCTGGCAAGCCGGAGAATCTGCTGCTGGCCTCCAAGCTCAAGGGTGCCGCAGTGAAGCTGGCGGACTTCGGCCTGGCCATCGAGGTGGAAGGAGAGCAGCAGGCATGGTTCGGTGAGTGGGACGGGCTGGCGGGGCGTTCGCAAATCTGCCTCTAGGAAAACCCTGCCCAAGCTGCGGCGGCTGGAGGTGACCATGGGGCCGGCCAGGGCTCAAGGAGTGGGCAGCACCCCTCCCCTCTGCCCGGGGCCAGGCACAAGGACAGGGTTATCATTAAAATGGTAGCACGGCTTCTTCATACAAACACACACCTTTGCTGTTCGATAGGGGCTTCCATGGGGGTCCCCCAACAGCCTGGGTGCTAGAGATTTTTATTCTGATTTTATAGATAAGAAAACAGAGGCTAAGAAATTGGGCAACGGTCAAGGGATTTTAAAAAGCCAGATCAGATGATCCAGCCCATTTTGGGATTTGGGCATAACTACGTCCCTTTCAGATTTCTGGGGCTACGTTTTTTTTTTTTTTTGAGACAGAGTCTCACTCTCTTTCCCGAGCTAGAGTGCTGTGGCATCAGCCTAGCTCACAGCAACCTCAAACTCCTGGGTTCAAGCAATCCTCCTGCCTCAGCCTCCTGAGTAGCTGGGACTACAGGCACGCACCACCATGCCTGGCTAATTTTTTCTATTTTTATTCAGTTGTCCAGCTAATTTCTTAATTTTTTCTATTTTTAGTAGAGACGGTATCTCGATCTTGCTCAGGCTGGTCTCGAACTCCTGAGCTCAAATGATCTGCCTGCCTCGGTCTCCCAGAGTGCCAGGATTACAGGTGTGAGCCACCTCGCCCGGCCTGGGGCTACTTTTTAACGGTCAATATTGATCAGTTGTTAAGAACCAGAGCTCTGTGTTCATATCCTGACTCTGCTACTTACAAGGTGTGTGACTTAGGGTGTGTCATTTCCCTTCTCTGAGCCTTCATTTCCTCATCTGTAAAATGAGGATAATAATGGTACCTTCCTCAAGAGCAGTGTGTGGATTACACGAGCCCAGGCGCGCAAAGCGCTCAGCCTGGTGCTTACCGGACACACTCAGCGACTGCTAACTGGTCCTGTGTTACTGTTAGAATGCTCTGGAGGCCCATTACTCCAGCTGATTCTCTCAGCAACCCCAGGAGGTGTTTAAGATGGGAATCCCTGATCCCTCTTTGACAGATGGGGAAACAGAGGCCTAGAAGGTAAAGAGACCTACGCAAGGGATTTAGGGGCAGAGCAAGAGTAGGACAGGCCTCCTGACTCCCACGACCCGCTCCCGCGGGGGCTGGAGGTGGGCAGGGGTCTAGCTCCCGGCCTGGAGCTGACAGGGCGAGCATGTTTCATTCTGACGGCCACCAGCTAACGACAAGTAGTGGCTGCTGGCAGGGTTACGCTTTGAAATCGGGGGTTGGGACCCGGTGGGAAGAAGCTCTGTGCTCTGAGACTGCTGTCTGCCCCGGGCTGTGGAGTGGGGAGTGGCCACAGATGTGCCGTGTGCTTGCCCACCCCGTGTAGAGGCTCTGCTGGCGTGTCCGGGTTTCAGGATGCAGGCCTGCGCGCGTCTGGGGCGGGGGCTGTTCTAGGGCAACCCGCAACCCCCCTCCCAGCAGACTCCTGCTCCGGGGTACTCACATGCCGACCTCTGTGTGTGTGTCTGCCCGTCTGTGTGTCGGGAACAGGCTTTGCAGGGACACCTGGGTACCTCTCCCCGGAAGTGCTGCGGAAGGACCCGTACGGGAAGCCCGTGGACCTGTGGGCCTGCGGTGAGTCCCTGCAAAGGCCCTTCTGCGCCCCTGGCCGCCCCTGCCCCTGGGGCCCCTTTCCCATCCCTGCTCCCTCTCTCCTCCCCACGGGGGGTTGAAGGCTCTCTGTTCTCTCTCCAGGGGTCATCCTGTATATCCTGCTGGTTGGGTACCCCCCGTTCTGGGATGAGGACCAGCACCGCCTGTACCAGCAGATCAAAGCCGGTGCCTATGATGTGAGTGTCGCTCCTCCCTCCGGCCCCCGCATCCTCTGGCGCCCTTCCAGGGAAAGCCAGTGTCCAGTGAGGTCGGGGGTCTGAGATGGCCTCCCTCCCGTCTTCCCCGCACACCCAGGTCCCCTGCCACTCTAGTACTGGGCAGGGGTGACCCCCACGCGAGTGTGAAGACTGACTAGGGCCAGGCAGCGTCCACACTGTGCCTAAAGTGGGGTGAGGAGTAGGGGAGGGGCAGGCCCCCAGCCAGGTTTTATGTCTTTCCCTCTTTCATATATATAAATAATAGTAATAGCTAACACTTCCGTAGCAGTCTTCCAAATGTTTTACGTATCTTATTACATTTCATCCTGACATCAATCTATGACATAGGTACTGTTACCCCCATTTTACAGATAGGGAAACTGAGGCACAAGAGGTGAAGTAACTGCCCAGATCACATAGTTAGGAAATGGTAGAGCTGAGATTCGAACCCAGGTAGTCTGGCTCTAGCATCCGTGCTTCTAGCTACCAAGCTACACTGCTCTTCTGCAAGGCTGATGTCTGTTAAGCTATGTGCCACCTGCTTTATATTATATTTAACTCTCACAACATCTCTCGGGATGGCTCAAGGGGTCATGTGACTGGCCCAGGTCACACAGCCTGGGAGGCAGCACCAAAACTTGAACCCAGGCCTTCCAATTCTGCAGTCTGGGCTATAACCTCTGGACTGCTGCTCCTCAGATAAGGCACAGCCTCAGAATGACAGGGAGGCCTCCTCTCCCTCTGGCCATGCTCTGATTCATCCAGGGTCAGGGGACCCTGCCCCTCCCCTGGCACAGAAGGGTCCCTTCTTTGAGGATCCACAACTCCTCCTGGTTGAAGATGCCCACATGGATGGGCAGCAGGACCCCTGCCTGCTCCCCTGCCAGTCAGGGGCTGGGGGATCGCAGGGGTGGCCTGGGGCAGGCTGGGCAAACCTGGCCCCTCTGCCCCTTCCAGTTCCCGTCGCCAGAATGGGACACCGTCACCCCGGAAGCCAAGGATCTGATCAACAAGATGCTGACCATCAACCCGTCCAAACGCATCACAGCCGCCGAGGCCCTTAAGCACCCCTGGATCTCGGTGAGCCTTCCCTGCCAGGGCCGCTCCCGGGCCCTCCAGACCTCAGGGTCCAGGCCTTCACGGAGTCCTGGCCCTGCCCCAGTCCCCGAGGACCAGCACGGGGCTGAGTGGGCTTAATCCAAGAGACTCTGAGCCTGCTGTTTTTCTTGGGGTAATATGGAAACGAGGGGTGTCCCAGGTTGGCACCATGACTGGGGCTGCAACTGGCATCGAATGCCTGGTGCCAGGTTGCTAAGCAGCCTGCAGCACCCCCTAGTACAAAGCCTCCTCCTGCGGGGGGCACCCTTGGGGAGGCCTGCCTTGCACTCACAGCCCTCCCCGCTTCCTCCAGCACCGCTCCACCGTGGCCTCCTGCATGCACAGACAGGAGACCGTGGACTGCCTGAAGAAGTTCAACGCCAGGAGAAAACTGAAGGTAACAGGTCACCACCCTCCACACCCCCAGACGTGCGAGTGGTTGGCCTGGGTCTCCACAGAGGCCAAGAGACTCGCTCATGAGTTCTTTCCTTCATGGATTCAACAAGCGTTTATTGAATGCCTACTGCATGCTGCGCGGCGGGCTGGGCTTGGGGAGTGAGCAGTGAATGGGACTCCAGCCCCACCCTGACTGAGCTCTTGGTCTAGCAGAGAGGACAGACAAGTGCCCGGGACGTGGCGAGTGCCATGCCTGGGCAGGCCCCAGGGTGGCGGCAGTGCACCGCACAGCACTGGCACCCCAGGTCTGGGAGGATCAGGGATGCCTTCCTGCAGCCAGTGGCACTTAAGCTGCGCCCTGAAGGACAAGCATGCATTAGCCAGTAGAGTCAGAGCAGGAAGGTGTTGCAGACAGAGTGGGCCGCCTGTGCACAAGTCTGGAAGTGCGAGCATGACCCCCTGGGGGACCACAGGTGGCTCGGAGTGGCCAGGGGGAGCATTTGTGGGTGAGACGTGGCTGCACAGGAGACCACGGGGGAGAGGCCTCCACTGCCAAGCGCTGGGGAGGAATGGCTGAGACACTCAGACGGTGGTCATGGACCAGAGGAAGCCACAGTGAGGCCAGGTGGGCCCAGAGCTGTGGCCTCTTGCAGGTCCTGTGTGCTCTCAGGGCTGTGGCAACTCCTGGCCTACCCCTTGCCAGACACCAAGGGGTCCCAGCTGGTCGGGACAGAGGAGCCATCAGCACGCTGGGGACAATGAGGGGCAGATGTGGAGGCCCCAGCTCCTTCAGAACCTCCTCACCCGCTGTCCCCAGGCCTGGAATTGAGGCTCAGGATGGGGACACGGGTTAAGGGAGTGGCGGTCTGCATGGTGCCAGGAGAACCGAGTGCCACCCCTATCTGCAGTGGGAACCATGTCCCAGAGGAAGTCTCAGCATGTTGGAATCAGGGATCCTTAACATCGTAAACTGTTAGATGCAGGGCGTCCAGGTCAAGTCTGAATCAGATGGCATCAGAACCGGAAGGCCGTTGTCCCCCAGCTCACCTGTTGACAGCAAAAGATTTTCCACACTGAGAATCCTCCAGGGATTTGAGCCCGTAGGCCACGGAGGCACGAGCTAGTCCTAAACCAAGGTGCTCACAGCCCAGGCAGAGGGCCGAGAGGTGGAGGGGCTGAGGGACGCAAGGTCTGGGGTCCCTGCCCAGGCAGAAAGCGTCCATGGCCTTTAGAAGCCCCCGCCGTTAGGTGTCCCCAAGCCCATGAGCTTGGGCCAGGTCTCAGGACCTATTAATATCTGCTCCTAGGATGGCCTTGTCCCTGGAGCTGTGCCAGCTAAGGCCTAGCTCACCCTGACTTCTCCAGGGAGGTGGGGGATGGACTCTGGGCTGGGGGTGGGGTCGAGTGGAGGGTGGGGCAGAGGCTTTGGCTCGTCTCTGAAGGCAGCCCCTGCCTCTCCTTCCCCAAACCCTCTCTGTCCCTCCTGCGCTTCCTCCCCTCTGGCCTCCCCTCCCGCCACCCTCCTCTTGTCTCTTGCAGGGAGCCATTCTCACCACAATGCTGGCCACCAGGAACTTCTCTGGTAGGTGGTGGGACCTCAGAGTCCCCAGTACACCCTGCACCTGTCTGCTGGGGCACTGTCCTGTTGGATGTTTGGGTGCCCCCAGGCTAGGGGCCCTGGTGGCTGCAGAGGACTCCATGACTGGGGGGCTAGCTCACCAGCCACAAACCTGTACCCAGAAGTGGAAAGAGGTCAAAGGTCAGCAAGCCTAGGGCCCACCAGGACTGCTTAGAGATTTAATCTGGCTCCCCTACCTTGCAGCAGTGCTGGGGTCCTCAGCCTGGGCCAGCCAGAGAGGGATAAGCTTCCAGAATGCTGGGGGTTCAGGCCTAGGCAGGATGGAGCCAGGCTGAGTGAGTGACGCTATTCTTACAGTCCTGAGCTTCTGCTCAGGTGGCCTTCATGACAAGACAGCAGGAAGACATTGCCATCTCTATTTTCTAGATGAGGAAACAGGAGCTCAGGGAGGTGAGCTCTGACTCCCGCCGGTCGCACAGCTGGGGAGAGGCAGAGCCTGCATCAGCACAGACTTGACCAAGCCTGGAGCAAGTGCTTCCCACCAGGCTGGGTTCCCAGGGAGGCCAGGGCAGGAGCCTCCCAGGCCCTTGGCCAGAGCCAGGCTGGTTAAGGCGGGGAGCACCCAATTACCCGAGGCATGTGGCCTCACAGAGGGGAAGGGAAGGGATTATTGTCAGGGCTTAGCAAGAAGCTCCTCTTGGCACGTTGGAGGGGCCACTGTCCGCCAGAGGCTTCTCTCTGGGGAGCCGGGCTGCTGGCGGCAGCGGGGCAGATATAGATAGCAGACAGAGCAGAGCTCACCCCAGGGGCCCTCTGGCTGGGGCTGGGGCCAGCCGAGGAAGCTGCTGTGACGTGTGGCCAGCACCACACCACAGGGCCCGCTCTGAGAAGGTCCCCCGGCCCACGTAGTTAGCTGGGACGACCGAGACCCAGAGATGGGCACAGGCTAGAACCTTGGACTTGGGCTTTCCCCACTGCGGTAAACTGCCCTCCCACCCTCTCCCCAGAGGAGGATCCTGCCATTCCTTAAACTGAAAGATGAGCTGCCCAGTCAGTCAGAGTCTTTTTTTAACAACTGAAGCACCCTAGAGAACGCCAGTCCGGAGCCCACAATATGGCGGCCCAGGGTTGGCCCTAATCCGTCAGCGTGCTTTGTGTTTGAAAAGTTTAAAAGAGTTTTTGGAATGGATTTCCAGCACTTAAAAATCAGGAGATTTCATAGAGAAACTCCGATTCCTGTCATCTCTTGAAAACCAGGCTCTGTGGCTTCACAGAGGCCTGCAGTAGGGGCTGGAGCTGAGAGGGCCCACCCTCCTCGGGGACCGAGGGCCAGCGCTCCCGCTGCCCCGCTGCCCACCCTAGTCCAGCCCAGAGCGGTGGAGGACGGACAGCCACTCCTCTCAGCTGTGGCATCCGGAAGTGCCCCCCGCCTCGCTTTGTGAGTGGGGAGCTTTAGCCGAGAGCCTTGAGGGAGCTGTAGGTGGAAATGTGGGGTGGCTGTGAAGCTGGCCGGCCAAGAGCCCCACCCACCAGGGGCCCCGGGACGCCCCCTCCCAGCTCCAGGAGAAGGTCTCATCCTGGCTGCCACTTACTGAGCACCTAGTGCATTCAGGTCAAGGGCTGTGCTAAGCCCTTTGTAGACGCCCCGGCTTGTGTAAGGCGATTGCTTAAGGTCGGAAGCAGCCGGACGCCAGGCTGGGCAGGCCGGGGCATCCAGGCCTTTTCCTGGCCGGTGCCCACTTGCAGGGCTCTGGCCAGGAGGTGGGGAGGGAGGGAAAGGGAAACGACAGCGGGGGAGGCCTCCCTGAGAGCTGTTGCTCTCCCTGCCACCAGGGTCACAGCCAGCGCCAGTGTGGGGCTCCGGAGTCTGAGGTTGGGGAGGCCTGTGCTGGCGGAGGAGAAAGGCAGGGGATGGGGCTCTGGCAGGGTGGGCCACGGCGGGGGCCATCTGCTTCTTGTCACCGGCAAAACCCGGCCTGCAGCTGTCTGGAGTGAGTAGGCGGGGCTGACACATGACCTCCACAGCAGCATGGGGCTAAAATTAGAGAGGGCCAGGGCGGGGAGGGAGCGTCCAGCCCCAGGCCAGGCAGCCGGGCCTCCGGGTTGGCCACCACCGGCACGGGGGTGACTGGGATCCAGAGGGAATCCCCGGGCTGAAATAGCAGCTCCACAGCCCTGGGACACGCTGGATAACTCCCTCAACCCATGAAGCCAGAGGGGGACGCTCGAGATTGCTGAGAACAGGGGCACTGGGCCCACCCAGGGGGCCGCTGGCAGTCCCTGGGCCACCAAGGAGGGAGGCGGCGGTGGCCTCCCCCAGGATTGCTGAGCCTGCAGGCTGCCCTCTGGCTGCTCGTGGATGCTGCTCTTTCTCGCCCTGTGGGCCCTGGTGCCCTGCCTGGTATTGCTAACCCTCTACTTTTTCTCCTCCGCAGGGGGGAAGAGTGGAGGAAACAAGAAGAACGATGGTGTGAAGGTAAGCCCCGGCAGCCGGCAGCCTGTCCCTGGCAGCCTTGCCGCCGACGCGGACTGGCTTGAGACCCAGACCTTGCCGACGGTGTCCTGGGCAGATGCGGGTCACATCTGTGGCCAGGCCGTTCCCAGACCCGCAGACCTGGGCTTTGGTGCCCACCTGCTCGCCAGGATTGGTGGGGGCCGTGGGGGAGAGGCAGGCACCCTGGAGGGGGCCGGCACAAGGGAAGGGGCAGGTCAGAAGGAGATCTCCGTGGTTCTCCAGGGCTGGAGGACTGGTGAGCAAGAGGGTGTGAGGAGGAGGCAGACGTGGCCATGACTGGTGACCTCCTCCTTCCTGAGGATGGGTGGGCTGGAACGGGCCCCTGCCCCCCAGTGCACCTTAGTCCAACCCAGAAAGCCCGTGGAGGACATACAGCCATTCCTCTAGGCTTTGGGACCCAGATTCTTCCCCACCAAGAATCCCCTCCTCCCCCATGCACCTGCCCCCGTCCCACCCTATACCTGCCCGAGCTACCTCCCTCCACGCCCGGCGGCCCCTCCTTCCCGTCTCTTCTCTCTTCTCCCTCTGCTCTCTGGGGTCTGGCCCCTGCTCTCTGCAGCTCCCTCCTCCCCTGCCTCTCCATCTTCTTGTCTCTTGAGACCCTGCCTTTCCTGGGCTCAGAGCCCGGCCTGGCCAGGGTCCCCAGGCTGGGCTGTGTCCAGGACGTCGGAAGATGTGGGATGCTGCGTGAATACGTGAGGGCGGCTTCGTGGCTTGGTTCATAGCGGCGCGTATGGTCTTAGGCCACTGGCTTTGGTCTGTCAAGGGGTTGCATGGGAGGGGTCTGGGCTGGGTAGAGGCTGGGCCTCCCTTCTGCCCTCAGCCTGGTCCCAGCTTGGGTGTCTCCCTAGGTACAAGGGGTAGGCTGTGGACTTGATCATTTCTATGATTTCAGCTTATAAACAAACAAAAAAGCTCTCCCTTCTCATCTTGGGTGTTTGAGGAATACATAATTGTTTGGTTATTAGTCAAAGTCAGTGGTTTGCAAACTGAACTCTTTGGAACCCAAAGCTTCTGGGGAGGCACTTGGGAACCCCAGGTGGGGTTCTGGGCTTCTCACGTCTACTTCAACCTTTTAGCTCCGCATGATAGGGCGGTTAAGAGAGCCTGGGTGGGCTCCCAGCGGCTAGACCGTGGCTGGTTATTGAGACTCCCTGAGCTTGTGTTTCCTCATTCGTGCAATGAGGTCAAGGGAGGTCCCACCTCCTATGGCTATTTGTGAGGAGCAACTAACATAATTGCATCGATAGCTTGGCCTGGTGCTGGCATGTGACACATGCTCACAAGTTGCTAGTTGGTGTTATCTTTTATCTGTTTTATCAGACTTTTATGTTATCAGACTTTTGGGTACAATTTCTCTTAAAAACAAAGTTCACTCCACAAGATATCTGAAAACCACAGATCTAAAGCCAAGCCAATTTATAAAGTTAAGAGGCCCACCCCAAATCCTGTAACGCAGTCTGGCGCTGAGTTCCGGCTCGCCTGCTGCTGGGGGTTAGCCCTGCACCGACCCCCACAGTGTGAAAGGGTAACGGAGGTTTGCGCCACGTGGGGGCTGCCAGGCTTGGAGCAGCTGGGGCCTTCTCTGTCCCCCAAGTGGAGATGCTGAGCCGGGGGGAAGTGGACTCCACGGCCCTGATTGGGGGGATGTGGGGGCAAAGGCCACAGGCACTGGTGGGCTGTGGCCCAGGTTGGTGGAAGAGGAGGGGACAGAGAGAAGGGCTGCCCTGGTGCTTGGCTTTCCGGCGTGGCCCTGGCCAAGATTGATGCAAAGCCGCTGGGTGTCAGGACAGGAGGGGCCTCCCTCGGGGTGGGTCTTGGGAAGAAACTCAGGTCAGGCTCCTGTCGGGCAGGGCCAGGAGGCAGAGGCTGTCGGAGGCAGGGACAGCTCGTAGCTTGGTGGGGCTCTGCTGTCCATGGCAGGCTTCCCAGTGGGCACAGCTGCACGCAGCACCACTGCCTCCTGCTGTACAGGACAGACCTGGGGACTTCTCAGGGTGGCCTGGGTGAAGGGAAACTCAAAGGCTGATTTTGACCATACTCAGCCTCCTTCCCTCGCTTAGGTTGGAGGAGGGAGGAAGTCCATCCTGGCCCCGGGTCCAGGGAGCCCAGCCTGCCTCAGGGCGCTGCCCACGGGAGTGGGGAGAGCAGCAGGGCCGGGGTCCAGTTGTGTTTTCGGTGCCAGTGAGGCTGGACCTCGGGTCATGAAGCCGTGGGTTCGAGTGGGCCCTGCAGTTCCCTCCCGGGGGACCCAGGCGGCGGGCGGCCATCTGTGCAGGGAGCACAGCGGTTGTGTGCGGGGCTGGTGAGAGCAGCCATGCCTGATGCTCCCTTGACTGTCGCCGCGTCAGCCAAAGCGGGAAACGCACGTTCTTCCCGCACCTCGGTCCCCGGGGACAAACTGCCGCTCACCTGGGCCTACCCGGAGGGGCCTGGCTGTCTCCAGCGCTGCCGGGAATGCTGGCTCGGTCGGAGTCGTCACAGAGACGTGACATGTGGTGTGCTTTGGGGGCTTTCAAGGGCTTTTCAAGGCCAATTTTGACCATGCTCAGTTTCTATCATCCTTGCTAACCTCACACCACGCTTCTGCACGTGGTTCTGGGAGAGGCGACTCTACTTTGGGCGAAAGTCCCTTTTAAATCAAACTCTGCCGTGCAGGTCAGTGCGGGATTCTCGGTATTGTCATCTTGCGTGACTCAGGGAAATCGATCCTTTCTGCCACCAAGAAGCAAGGTCCCCTGTCCGGCCAGCCCTAGGCCCTGACTTGCGTGAGGAGGAGCTGGCAGCTCCCACCCCTCAGCCCCACTCACTGCCCCTGTTGGTGTCCCATCCGTGCCGTCGTGACCTCTCTCCCCCATGTCCCATCCTGTCACTGTGCGTCCGAATCTGATGCAGTCTCTGCTCTGTGTTCCCTCCTCGTGTCCCGCCTGGACCCTCCTGGCCCCTGCGCGGCTCCTCAGGTTTCTGCTGACAGCGGAGCTACGTGGGCCTGTCTGCTTCCCCACACTTATGTGCCTGGTCTGGCTGCAGCCGGCGGGCGAGGCCAGCGCTAGGAGGAGAGGGAGGGGAGGAGAGGAGGAGAGGAGAGGCTGGCTGCTGGCTGCGGGAGTCACACCGTCCAGCCCAGCGGGGGAAGACGCTGGCGTGTGCGCTCCTGAGAGCACACGGGCATTGGCGTGCGCAGTGAGCCACCCCGCCACATCTGCGGAGGCCCTGGATGGAGGACGCAGGGCTTTAGGTCCTGGTATGCAGAGGCTCACTGGATCTGGGAGTCCGAGTGCTAGTCAGAGTGCTCCCAGAGTGCTAGGGTTACAGGCGTGAGCCGCTGCTGGTTCTGTGTATTTTTGACAAATTTCCCTAGCGACTAGGACAGCCTACTGGGAATGGGGTTCTCTTAGAGATGGACAGGGAGGCCAGGAGGAGACGTGGGGCCTCCTCTCCAGACCTGAGCACCCTTTTGTCTTTCAAGAGCACTGGATTCTGGAGGCCGTAGACCTGAGACTCTCAAGAATACCCAGTGTCTCCCCATGGCGAAGGCCTACCCTAGCCAGCCGCTGCTTTGCTCCCCCTACGGTGCAGCAGGGAGAGAGGCCTCTGGCCTCTCAGATGTGAGGGCGCCCAGGACAGGCTGAGCCTTTGAAGAGGGCTCAGGCCGTGGGCGCCTGGAGCCCTGGAGAGGGGAAGAGGAAGGAGTGCTGCACACAGGCCTGGGTTCTAGCTGCAGCTCTGCTGGTGGCTTGCTGAGAGGCCTTGGACAGGCCACTGCCCCTCTCTGGGCCTCAGTTTCCCCTCTGTGCAGTGCAAGTGTCAGTCTCGACTTGCGATCTGTGAATGTGAGTCTTTAAGACTCCTGGCTCAGAGAGTGAGGGAAAGAGAAGGAAATCTGCCATTCGTCCCCACCCTCCTTGCCTTGGTTCCGTGGCCGATGCAGGGGATGCTGCACATTCCCAACATGGTAGCCAGGCTGAATGGCAGGGCCGAAAGACTCAAGTTTCATTTCTGGCTGTGCCTCAGTTTCCCATCAGGATAAAGGAGCTGAATAGGCTAGTTACAGGAGTCGGAATGCAAACAGGCTTTCAAAGGCCACTAAGAGGATTGGCTCCCACACTTGGCCCTGCCTGGGAATCACCTGAGGCTATTGTTGGAAATGGAGATGCCAGGATGCTCAGGCCTACCCCACACCTGGTTATCAAACTCCTCAGAGGGGACCTGGTTCTGCATTTTTGGGGGGCGGGGGGAGACAGAGTCTTGCTCTGTCACCCTGGCTAGAGTACAATGGCGCTATTGTAGTTCACTGCAATCTCAAACTCTTGGGCTCAAGTCATTCTCCTGCCTCAGCCTCCCAAGTAGCTGTAGGCACTTGCCACCATGCTCAGATAATTTTACTATTTTTAGTGAAGACGGGGTCTCGCTCTTGCTCAGGCTGGTCTTGAACTCCTGAGCTCCAGCGATCCTCCTGCCTCGGCCTCCCAGAGTGCTAGGGTTACAGGTGTGAGCCACTGCTGGTTCTGCATATTTTTGACAAATTTCCCTAGTGACTAGGACAGTCTACTGGGAATGGGGCCCTCTTAGAGATGGACAGGGAGGCTAGGAGGAGACGTGAGGCCTCCTCTCCAGACATGAGCCCCCTTTTGTCTTTCAAGAGCACTGGATTCTGGAGGCCGTAGGCAGCTGGCATCCAAGAGCCAGGACTGGCCTCCCCCATCAGAGCTAGGCATAGTGGGCAGCCCTGGTCCAAGGGAGGCTTGACCTTGAGCTTGGTCGATGGGTAGACCCCGGCAGATGTGCATGAGGACCCAGACCTTCAGGCTGAGAGGACTGGCCCCGCCAGGTCAGCGGTTGCTGGGGGCACTGGCTCCTTGTCCTGAAGCCGAGCTGACAAAGGACCACCGAGGATGACCCCGAGGCCCATCCTCCTTCCACACATCCCCTGTCGTTCCTCTGCTCCCTGCCGTTTTCACGCTGTGTCTTTTCCTGTCCCATCTCTTCTCCTTGTTTTTCCAGAAAAGAAAGTCCAGTTCCAGCGTTCAGTTAATGGTGAGTGTCTGCCGTCTCCTATACGCCGGTAAATGCTGGGCCTCGAACCCCTGCTCCTGCCTCCCTCCTGCAGGCTGCTCTGGGAACCTGGGGCGGGGAGAGGGTGCTCAGGGCGTGCTTGGTACGTGTGCCTCGTGTGACAATTTGTGTGTTGTGTGTGTGTGTGTTGTTTGCGTGTTTTTGTTGACACCTCCCACTCCACAGACTAGCAGGCTGACAGCAGACCTAAGGCCTCCCGTGGGTACAAAGGTGGATTTGAACCCCCTCCCACGTCCAGCCCTTGGCTTCTCGCTTCTCCCCACCCCTCTGCTCTGGAACTCATCTCAGGCTTGGTTTGTGCCCGTCGTGGCAAGAGTGGGGCTTGGTTTGGCCAAAGTAGCAGGCGCCATGGAGGCCCCTCCTGGCTTGGGTGAGGCCTCCCGGGCCCACCGGTGGCAGAGGAGCCAGCAGCCCCGCCTCTGTCTAGGGGCTCCAGTGGTGGCACGGTGGCCTATATCCCTCTTCTTCTGGTTCCATTGCTGTCTCACTCAGTTGTGTGGTTTTTCCTCCCCTCTGGAAAGCCCACCCTCTCTCACACTGGGCCTCCCTCTCTCTCTCTTCCTCTCCCGCCAGTGTGGGTTCCTTCCCCGTTCTGCGGCCGCCATGGTGTCTCTCTGCTCCTCCACACCCCCTCTTTGCCCCCTTGAGCAGAAAGGACCCGGGAACCCCGTCTCAGCCCTTCCAGAAACGCCAGGGTTCTCCTTGCAGCCAGCCATCCCTTCATCCCTGCCCCGGCCCCCGGCCGCCTGCTTAGCTGGGCCCTCCCCCTCCTTAGGCTGGAGAGGCCGGCAGGGTTTGCAGTGCAGCATCCGGATGGCGGAGCCTGGGAGGCCGCCCGAGAGCCGGCCGCGCCATCGGGCAGCCGGGACAGCCGCGCCTGGCCCTGCCTCATCCTGCCGCCAGGCAGGCCTCACCACGCCCTGTGTTCTCTTTGGCAGGAATCTTCCGAGAGCACCAACACCACCATTGAGGACGAAGACACCAAAGGTAGGGAGAGGCCTCGCCTTCGGGGTCTAGGCCCCCCAACTTCCTGGTACCGGCTGGGCAGACCCTTCACTGACAGTCCCGGCCCAGAGGGCCCCATGCCCATCTCGAGCCTGCTCTTCTGCAAAGAGCTTTGCTTGGGCTCCTCGTACACTGGGCACGCCGTGGCCATGGCTCGCCCCGTGGGCTGCTGGAACCACGGCTGGTGCATAGGCTCTCTCATTCTAGAGGTGACAGATTGACTTTAGTGTGTATTACAGAAAAGTGTAACATACTCGAGTTGTAAATGTATAGTAGTGATATCGATTTTCCTTTTGAAATGAGTGTTTTCGAGTTTTTTTTTAAAAAAAGCGAATTGATTTGAAAAGCATGAAGTGACAATAGTAAAGGAAGGGACAGTGAAAACTCCGGAAGTTCGTTGGCTGGAGCGTGGGGAATGCTGCCCGCGACACACTGGAGGTGCCGCGGCCGCTGTAGCTGGCGTCTAGCGTGGCCTGGCAAGCTCGCGGGCGGAGGAGGGGCAGAGCCACAGGTGGCTGTGATTGGGCCCTAACAAAGCGCATCACGGGAACAGTGACGAAGGCTGCGCTTGCGCGATGCTTGCTGTGTGCCGTCCCAGGACCGACCTGGGCTAACTGAGGGGTGCTGTGATGAACCCCACTGCACAGCTTAGCAAACAGAGGTCGGAGAGGTTGGCTTCATGGGCCCAAGGTCCCATAGCTCGAGATGGTAGGGGTAGGGTTTGAACCCAGGCTCCGGGGCCTGGCTGGCGACCGCCACGCTGAGGTCTTGGCGTGTGGCGAGTGCACCTGGAGCTTGGAGGAAGGAGCAGGGAGTGCTGAGTTCTGCTGGGGGGGACACCACATCCTGGATGCATGGGCAACCAGCCCTGCTTGCTCCCCAGCACAGGGAGCGCAGGGTTTGCACTCTCCGGAGCATGTCACGCCTGCAGAGTCCCTACAACACAGGGAAAGGCTGTCGACCTGGAGGGAACTCAGCCATAGCAGTTTAGACACTTTTTTTTTTTTTTTAGGAGTTTAGATATTTTGCCTTAGAATATAAAAATGGGGAAAAGAGCATTTTATTATGTAATAAACATTTGTGTATAATTGCGATTCAGGCTCTATGGCAGGCTCACGACTGCCTCCTGACTCTGCAGGATGCCTGTAAGATGGGCCCCACCCTATGTGTGTCTCTTTCTGGTCATTCCCAACTTGCGGGGCGGTGGGCACTCTATCGCCACAGCCTGGCCCTAGAGCAAACCCGCCTCCTGTGATGGCACCAGGGACAACCTTCAAAAACACATTATCTTGAGCCATTTGGGAGGCTGAGGCAGGAGGATCACCTAGGGCAGGAGTGCTATCAGATCCTGACGGTGATCAGCCGCTGCACTCCAGCCTGGGCAACATAGTGAGACCCCATCTCTAAATTAAACAAATAAATAAATATGTTAAAATGTTAATATATTATCTCCAAGAAGAATCCCCCGTTTGGGGCAGGTCGGCATTGCCAGTCCCACAAGCCTGATCTTCCAGCCACAGTCCTGGCCCTGCCTCTGCAGATGCTGATGCCATAGGTCTGTGTTGGGCCCAGAAGTGGTGCTTCTGAGACCCCATGTGCAAGGCTCACTTGCCCGGTGGTAAGAACTGGACTCTGGGAATCTGAGGAGCCTGGACGTGACCTCATTCTCCTGGCCTCAGAGCAGACAGGGACCTGGCTGACCTCATACTCCTGGCCTCAGAGCAGACAGGGACCTGGCTCTGCCCTTTCCTACTGGAGCCCGTTTGCTGGATGACCTTGGACAACTTGCTCAACCTCTCTGAGCCTCAGTTTCCTTAATAGTAAAGAAGTGGGGCTGGGTGTGGTGGCTCACATGTGTAATCCTAGCACTCTGGGAGGCTGAGGCGGGAGGATGGCTCGAGGCCTGGAGCTTGAGACCAGCCTTAGCAAGAGTGAGACCTTGGCTCTACCAAAAAATAAAAATGATCCAGCAGTGGTGGCTCATGCCTGTAGTCCCAGCTACTTGGGAGGCTGAGGCAGGAGGATCGCTTGAGCCCAGGAGTTTGAGGTTGCTGTGAGATATAATGACGCCACGGCACTCTACCTGGGCCGACAGAGCGAGACTCTGTTTCAAAAGTAAAGAAGTGATGATGACAGCACCAACCTCAGAGGCTTGCTGTGCAGTTGAAATGAGGGGACGATATAAAGTACGTGCAGTGTTTGCACATGCTCAATGTTTAATCAATCTTAATTTCTTTGTTTCAAACTGGAATTCGTTGAATGACAAGAAGCCATGTGACATTTTCTTGGCACATCAATTTTACTTTAAGACAAATGTATATGTTAGACAGAAATATTTGGAATAGGGTGCAAAGTTTGCATGTACTATTCATGTGGATTAGGAGCTGGCAAAGACATCTTGCACCTGGGCTAGTGGCTTTGGGCTGCATCCCTGAGGGCCCACCTTCGCGATCGTTGTCCTCAGCTTTGGAAGGATCGGGATGGGGTAATTTGCAGTCTTGAATTTTGGCGTACCTGTGCCCCTTTGACAGAGAGGAAGCTGAGGCCCAGTGAGGAGAAAGGGCAGATGGGTTATTAATGGCAGAACTGGGATCCCATTCGCTGCCTCGGTTTCCCCACATGTCCAAAAGCCCCGGAGGCCGTGTCTGATAGAGGAGATGCCGGCTCAGCCAGGAGCTTCTCCTCGTGTTCGGCAGAAGACAGGAGCCCCTGTGCCTCCCCTGGCCTCTCAGGCCTCGGAGAAAGTTCCCAGAGAACCATCTTCTAGCGTTAATTTGTTAAGTCTTCTTACTAAGTGAGAATAGCAGCTGGTGGGGTGGACCCTGACCTGACATTAAAGTTAATTAGAAATGCCATCCTCCAGGGAACATTCTCTCCCGAGGAGAGAAAGAGACATTAATATTTCAGAGCACCTCTGGCTTAGCGCAGAGGCCTCTCACTCCCTGAGCCGTGCAGGGCTCTGCCAGCCTTGCTCCCCACTCCCCGACCTCCTCCTGGTTAGCCATGAAAAATTCATTTTCCCTCCTCCTGAGGAGCTGCCTCAGAATCTGGGCAGAGACGTTCTGGGAAATATCAGTCAAAAATGCTGCTCCCACCTCAGGCTCAGCATGCTGTGTGATCCTGAGAGAGTGCCCTAACCTCTCTGGGGTCTCAGCTTTCCCATCTGAAGGGAGCACTCTCAGGTTGTCCGGGTGAACACCTGGCAGATGAGAGAAGCCGGAGGTTGCTACTGAGCAGCTGCTGAGTGAACCCCTTAAACAGCAACGGGGCCGCTGAGGGCACAGGAAGGACCCAGAACCAGAGTGGACTTTTCCAGATCTAAGAAGCCCTGGGCCCCCAGATCTTCTGTCCCAGAGCACAAAGCTAGGGAGAGTCCTGCCCAGTAGGCTTCGGCTATTGGCAAACTTGGTGCCCCGAGTAGCTGAAGACACAGTCAAGTCAGACATTTTCTCAGGCTGCATTAATAGAAATATAATATCCAGAATTGGGGAGGAGATAGTGCTACCCCAGATCTGCATTATTCTCAATATTCAGCCCACACCTGAGATTGTGTGTTCATAGCCAGAGAGGCATCCAGACAGCTCAGGGACCCTTGAGGAGTAGATGGCCAGCTTGAGTCAGGGCCTGGAAAGCACAGCTTGGAGGCCCTCAGCCCTGAGAAGACTCATTTTGGGGTGGGCATAGAGGCTGGGGGAGCAGGGGCTCCCTCTGGGCCCCAGAAGGCTGAAAGACCAGAACTCTAACTGGGGGTTCTCAGGAGGATAGGCCTCAACTTGCGGGAGGGCGGTGGTGCACACAGCGAGCGAGAGCTGTCCGGCAGCGCAGTGGTCTGCCCGGCAGGCCGCGAGCCCAGACCAAACCCCCACGTATCAGGCTGCTGGGATGCAGCCCTGCCCCGGTGAGGGACCCGAGGCTGTCCCCAGGAGGAACTCCTGATTCGGAGATTTCCAGATGATAACAGTCACAGCTGTCACTTGCGGGGGGCCAGGCACTGCTCTGACTGTGTCTCGTGATGGTGGTGCAGCAGTCGTCACAGAAGCGAGTTGATGGAAAGGGCTTGGACTGGCAGCTGGCTGTCAGTGAGGACATACGTGTGTCAGCCATTTCTAGTGATATAACTCAATCCTCAGAACAACTCTGCAAGGTAAGCACTGTTAGTAACTCCATTGGCCATATGGGGAAACTGAGGCACAGGGCAGGCCCTTGTCCAAGGTCACGCGGTTATTAAGTGGGAGAGCCAGAATCCTGGCTCCCGCATGCACGCCCTGAGTCACTCTGCTGGACTGTGCGGGATGGCAGTGAGAAGAGCCCACGGGAGATAGGACGTTATGCACAGCCTCGTGGAATGGCAAGCTGGAAAGGTCAGGGCAAGGCAGGTGGCACAGGTCACCCAGCCCACGGAGCGTGTGGGCCATCGCCCCCGATTCCACTTGGGAGTGGCTACAACGAGGTGGCTCTGGCAGGGCTGGGTTTCTTCCCATCCTCCGTCTCTAGCTTCCCAGGAGAGGAGAGTTGAGCAGGAGGCCAGGCTCTGGATTTCCTAGGGACAGTGGCTGCTGGTGCCTTGTGCAATTCTAGGGGACAGGAAGAGAGCAGCCCAGACTCTGGTTTGGCACCATCCACCCACTGATTCGTTCCCTCAATGCATGCGTATCGAGGGCCAGCTGTGCCCCAGCCCCAGGCAAGGCCCCAGAGAGAGGGCGGCAACAAGCCAGCCGTGTGACCCATGGGCACTCATGGCCTAAAGACGGCCTCGCTTTCAGTCCAGGTGATTCTGGTTGAAGCTGGGAGAGAAAGGATTAGCAGCTCATGGGAACTGACGCTGCACGGCCACCGCAGCATCTCCTGAGCACGCGGCATGTGCCGAGGGAGGTGACGGCCGGGGTGACGGGCTCTGGAGCTGCCACTCTGGTGGGGTCCCAGCTCTGCCACAGCAGGTCACTCAGCCGCGCCCACCTCTGGTTTGCTTATCTGAGAAGTGGAAGGCGAAGTTGCGCCATGAGGCCTGGGGACTGCGTAGGCTAAGCTCATGGCACGAGGCCGGGCGCACGCTCCCAATCATCCACTCAGTAGTGAGGCCCGGCCTGCTCCGGGCTCGGGGATGCAGCAAGCAAGAGAAACCATGGCCTGGCCTCAGCGAGCTCACATTTGAGTTGGGGACAGACCAGCACACGGGCCAACCCACCGTGTGGGGTCGGTGTTATGACAGGGAGCAGACTGGGCCACCAGGGTCGGTGGAAAAGGGCCTGGGCCTGGGGGCCACACTTTGCACCTGCCATGTTCCGTGTCCTTGGGCAAATCACAACCCCTCACTTGGCCTCGGTTTCCCTGGTAGTGTAACAGGGAATCTGAGTCCGTGGCCTCCAAGGCTGCTTCCAGCGTGAATGTTCTGTGATTCTATGTCCTCCGGGCCTGAGAGCTCTGGGCATGGCCAGGGCAGCGTGCGCAGCTGATGAGGAAGCGTGTAAGGGCCTCCGCCGGGCGTGGCCTCCCTCCCAGTCCAGCCTGAGGAGTGCTGAGGGCTGAGCTCGCTCTCGGGGCACCGTGTCCCCCGCCTCACGCGAGACTGCCCCAGGGGCCCAGCGAGCTGGCCGGCTTGAAGCCAGGCTGAGGCCCCGAGGAGGAGGGAAAGAGGGCCTGTTCCTGAGAAAACGAGGGGGCCCCTGTCAGGCCCTGCTGGGAGCCAGGACGCCTGGCTCCACACTCCTCCCCCACTTGGGAGACGGGGAGAAGCTGGCCTTGCCTGCCTCCAAGGGCGTTTGTGAGGAGCCCATGAGGCAGTCCTAGTGGGGGGAGGGGGCTGTTGCAGAAAATGGTAGCACCTATGATGTGCACCTACTACGTGCCAGGCTTTGGGCCAGTGCTTCATGTCCTTCACACCACCCCACCCTCATAACCACCCTGGGTGGAGGATACCGTCATCGCCCCTTGCCAGACCAGCAGACAACCTTGTGGCCCACAGTCGCTCAGCTTGTGAGGACCTGGGCTGGAATCTGGACGGACGTTTGAGAGCGGAGCCTGGGTACTGCGTGTTCCTCGCTGCATGACTGAGGGGTGGCGATGTCCTTCTTTTACACACATCTGCCTCTCTGCCAGAAAGACCACCTGCTTATGGTGTTTCGGTGGCAGACAGGGGAGGGCCAGGTCTCAGCAGCTGCGGTTCGTTTCGCCTAGAAAGTTCTGGCCAGTTCCTATGGGAACTCAAATGGAGCAAAAAGCTCACCCAGTCTGAAGGGTGAACCCCAGTCTTGGCCATGGAGGAGCCCCTGGTTCCTGGCCGTTAGTGACAGTCCCACAGTGGATCCTGTTTTGGTTCACTTGGCAAAGCAAGGTGGTGGGGATGCATATTTTGGAGTCAAGACCTGGGTTCAAATCGGATCTCGAGCCAGCAAGCCCACCACGTGTGCTTATTGGAGGCAAAGGCCACCGACTGAGACACTGGCCCTGCCCTGTGCAGTGGAGGGACATTGCACACCTTTTCCACCTTCCTTGCCTCAGTTTCCTCTCCTGGGAAAGGAGGCTAACGGTCCCTGTCTCAAGGGGCAATGCAAGGATAAGTGAGACAACCTGCATGAGGTCCTCAGATCCCAGCACAGGGTCTGGCACGTGACAAGGACTCAGGCAATGGTAGTTGGTGCCTCATTACTATCGTTATTATTTTTTTATTGTTGTTGTTATTATTATTGCTATTTCTGTGTCCCCTCTGCCTTACAGTGCGGAAACAGGAAATTATAAAAGTGACAGAGCAGCTGATCGAAGCCATAAGCAATGGAGATTTTGAGTCCTACACGTGAGTCGGCTGGGCTTGTTCTGCGTGTCTTGCCTGGCTTGTTGTTCAGGGGGTGCTGTTGGCTCCCTTTGGGGGTCCTCGTCTCTGACCCTCATCCGCTCACTTTGCATGTGCTGTGGATCGGACTGAACTCATATTTCCGTTTTGCATTTGGACTTTAGGCTTATATTGAGCTTTCTGTTCCCAACACTTCTCTATATCTCAGGCCCCCTTCTCCTGTCCTCCCTCCCCCTCACACCTTGTTCCCTGGGAGAAACTCCAACAAAACTCCTTTGCTTCCTCCTGGAAGGAGGGAGAGGTCACCATCACAGCGTGGGCCCCTCAGGAGATGAGCTGGGAGGGTGAGGAGGGTGACAGGCCCCCTTCAGTCCTGCCCAGTGGGCCTGAGGCCTCACCCTGGACCTCCTGGGGCCTCTGACCGCAGATGGGTAGGAGCAGAGAAGGAGCCATAAGGTGTGCACCTGCCGTGAGCAGGGGTGAGCAAAAGTCCTCAAAGTAGAATCTTAAACCCTTGGGGGAATAAAGCAGCCCGCACAAAACATGCACACCTGGTGTCATCTGTGGAGGGATGGCTGTGTGCAAGGGCTGAGTCAGAGCACCCCAAGCTGGTCATGCACACCTTTCCTGGTCTGGCCCAGAGCAGGCCTCAGAGGCCCTCAGCTGGCCCCAGGGAGAGAAAATATTTTGGGCTTGGAGCTTAGGCCTTAACATTTGGCCACTGCTGACAACACCTGGGTGTGGAGACCCCACATTTGCTTTTTGGTGAACAAAGATCACCAACTAAGGCAGAGTGGCCCTTGCCTGTTGGGTTAAGGTGAGTTAGTGCTAACCTAGCTGGAGTTTGCTCTTTGGGCAGCCTGTTCCTCGTTTCCACCATGCCCAGGAGCTGAAGTTTGCCTCTCGAAGGCTTGGCAGGCCAGGTGCCTTCTAACTGTGGGAGGTTTTTCAGCAGCAGTGGGTAGCAAAGCCTCTAGAAATTCACCGCCCCCCCTTTGGAGGAACAAGGAGCTTGGAAGGAGCATGTACAAAACTGAGGCTCTCATATACATATATGTATGCATGCACTTGTACACATGGGTACACGCTTGTGTGCACAAGGCGTGTGCACAGGTGTGTGTGCATGTGTGTACCTGGATGTTGCAAAAAAGCACAGAAACAGGCTGTTAAGCTGGACTTGCAGCCAGTCCCAGAAAAAGCTGGAGTGTATCATGCCAGTGGCTTTAGAAGGGCACAGCCAGGGAGCAAGGGAAAGAGAGAGGGCCCCTGTGGCCCCTAAGCTCCTCAGTGCTACTTCTAGGGGTCCTGGGGAACCCCTTCCACCTCTGTGATATCACTTCTGACTTCTGCTGCCTATTCTAGGTTCTGATCCTTTGCCATGACCTTCTGGCACTGTGTAACCTTAAATAAGTCAGTTTATCTCACCGAGCCTTGGTTTCCCCACATGTACAACGGAGTTGGAGGGGACGGCCTCCGAGTCCTTTCATTGCAGGAGGCAGGAATACCAGATGCCTCCAGGAGTGAGGCTTCTTAAAGTGGGGGTGCTCACTCTCCCGCACACTCAGTGCTCAGACCCCTACCCTTGGAGGATCCTGCAGCTGGAAGGCCCTGAGCATCCCGCTGGGTCTGAGCACCATCCCCCACCCCCTGGCTTAATCCAGCTGGAGAATTTGAGGTCCTGAGTGGAGAACTGAGTTGTCTGGGGTCACCCAAACAGACAGGACAGAGCAGGGACAGTGCGCCCTGCAAGGGCTTCGTCCAGCTCAGACAATGCTGTGCCTGACACCCTCTTCTGGGCATCTCCAATTCCACCCTGGGTTGGGAGCTCTGGTTGTCCCCGGGCATTTCCTGTCTCTGGCTTCATTGCTATTGTCACAGGGGTTCATATTGTGCCACAAAAGATCCCAGAGACTTGGAGATGAGAAAGACAGTTTGTTCCTGCCCCCCACCCGGCTGTCAGGGCCCCCTGGAAGACTGAGACTTGGAAAGGAGCAACGAGCTGAATATACACAGTCTCCATTTGTGAATCCTCCTCGGCCACACTCTGTGCTCCTCCCTCCCAGACATTCCCTTGCCTAATGCTACCTTCCTCATCTTATAGAAGAGGAAACTGAGGCTCACAGTCAAGGCTGCTGCTAACAACAGGGCAACTTTGCTCAAACTAGCAAAACGTACCAGCCAGGTACACACCTGGCTTGGTGAGGAGAGGTCACTATTATGTGGAGGGAAATGCACCTCCCTCCTTCCCCCTGACAAAGACAAATTAGAAAAAGCCCCCTCTGGATCCACTGCTCTGGGCCAGGGGTGAAATTTGGATAGCAGCTTTCGTGCGCTGCACAGCCCTGCACGGTCACCCACGGCACTCTTGCTTCAAGGGGTTGAGCCACTTGCTTGAAGTCTCATAAGCATTAAGTGGCAGAGCCAGGACTTGAACCCAGGCTTCCCGGCTGTACATGGCAGCGAGCAGTCAGCAACGCCCCACACTTTACAGCTTGCCAGCTCCTTCCCGTCCACTAACCCTGATCCCATGAGCTGGGCACAATCGTTCCCCTTCCACAGGCTCACCCTCTGAGAGGCCAGCAAGAAGCTGCCCCAGCCCCTCTTTCCTCTGGCTTCTTTCCCCCAGGAAGATGTGCGACCCTGGCATGACAGCCTTTGAACCCGAGGCCCTGGGGAACCTGGTCGAGGGTCTGGACTTCCATCGATTCTATTTTGAAAACCGTGAGCAATCCCTTCTCTCTGGGGTGCCTGTTGTCTGCTCTCGTTCCGTGTCCCGCCGGACGGCACAGCAGGGTGACGGGCAGGGCCCCAGGGGCAGCTCAGGAGCCAGCGAAGCGGAAGATCCCGTGTGGACAGGGGTTGGTACCCTCTTGGTTCCCTCTCCTAACCCTGGCCCATCCATCAGCTGCCAGCTGTCTCTCCTGTGGTTCAGGATGGGGCGAGGGGGGTCCCAGGGACCAGGGATACACATGACAAGCCCTCCCAGGCCTCTCCAGGGAGCCTTCCCATTGGGTCATGCACCCTAGATAGGGTCATCTTGATGCCCGAGGCCATCCCAGCTGCCCAGCTGGTCACAAGCTGGCTCCGTGGGTTGTGGGTGCGCAGTTTGGGAAAAAGGAGAGGACAGTGAGCTCACACTGCTGTGCCCTGCCTGTTTGTCTAGGTCTCTGTCCTGCATGTCTGTCCTTCCTGGGCCTCTCCTCTGCAGGAGAGACCTTGGCAGCTTTGCAACCAGGGGCTGTCAGACGGTTGAGGCTGGGCCTGACCTAGGACGCTTTCTGCCTGTGTCTGTGTCTCTCTGGGCCAGGGGTTAGACAGAGATGAAACAAAGGTTAGATCACACAGCTTAGGACAGGGAGGAGGGACCTGAGAGGTGCTGGATCCGGGGCTCCCCAAAGTGAAGGGCATGTACCACGAGGCTACACAGAGTGATTCCAAGCATATCTAGGCACCACTTGAAACAGCATTGCTTTACACAGCGAGAAAGCTCCGCCCTTTTAAATCTCTTTCAGTCCTCTGGCTCCACCAAGGGGAAATGCTCAGCTGGGCGGTAGCCTGTCTTGAACACTTCTTTGCCACTTCCTAACTTCCTCCTTCATCAAAGAGTGAGCAAATCTCAGGCTTGTCTCATAGGCAAGAGCATGGAGCAAGGATTATATGACTTTCATTTCTTTTCACTGGCCTTAGGATTAAAAGTTTATTCTGTGATATCGATTGTTCATTAATAATTATGCTAGAAAGTTTTTTTTAAAAAAATAAATTTATACGAATCAGTAAAGTGAATTGATTCAGGGAAATATTTTAATGAAGTCAATGCAGGTGGCACTTGTATATGGTAAAAATAACAAAGGTGGTGTTTCAAAAATAGCAAAGAAGTCAGACCTAGTCCCAATGTTCATCATGCGGAAGAGGAAACTGAGGCCCAGAGAGGGAAAGTGACTTGTCTAAGGAATCCAGAAAGCTGGTGGCAGAATCTGGACCTGACACCGGCGGTGCCCCTTCCCTTCCCTGTGCCACTTGCTCTGTCCACGTGCACATTAGCAAACCAGGGCTGGGACTGGCACTGCCCTCCTGGCCTGCAGCCTCTCTGGCTGAATTGTATAGAGCAGGCGTCCTCAAATTATAGCCCGCCGGCCACATGCGGGTGTTTTTGCCCATTTGCTTTTTTACTTCAAAATAAGATATGTGCAGTGTGCATAGGAATTTGTTCATAGTTTTTTTTAAAAACTATAGTCTGGCCCTCCAATGGTCTGAGGGACAGTGAACTGGCCCCCTCTTTAAAAAGTTTGAGGACCCCTGGTATAGAGTTTAGAGGCTCAAGGTCACCCCCAGGAAAAGCTGTGAAGACGAAAGCTACGTCTTCCTTTAATAAACCAAACTCCCATTCTGCAAGGCTAGCAATGAAGACTGAATTCTCATGGGAAGAGAAGTCCCTGTCACCCTGGAGCTCCCTCGCTGATCACCGCGGCCGCCATTCTGCGTTCTGTCCTCTAGGGGCGCCGTTTCCCAGCGTGAACTGGACAGTCCCACAAAGCACAGCGGAGAGCAGGCTAAGGCCCAGCTCTAAAGGCTCGGGTGGCAAAGGGGATAAACGCAGGGGAAGGCCACGCAGCCCACGCTTGCCTGGGTTCAGTGGGCCCTGTCTCAGCACCATCCCCGGACTCTAGGTTTAAACGTCCGGTCGCTCTAAAGGCGGACCCCACAAAAGCAAGACCCGGAGCAGCTGCGTGCTTCTGCCCAAGCCCCACCCTCCAGATGCCTGGCTTTCCTGTGGAGGACCTGGCCCTGTCTCCCACCCCGTCCACAAAAGCGGATATTAGAAGCCTCTTATCATTTCAAAAGACACCACGTTAGGGGGCATTTCTTTGCAAATGCTCCTCAGGACCCAGTTCTCGCTGATAACAGCATGGCCAGACCCTCAACCATGCCAAGCTCCGTTTGTCCCTCCTAGGGTTGTTCTAGATTGTCCTAACTCAGTCCCAGCTGGAGACTGACTTCTTGTCAACTCCACTGCATCTTTCTCAGGAACCGGCCCAGGTCGGGACAAGTCAGACTGTTTCTCTGGACCTCAGTTTCCATATCTGCTACATGGACACACTGAAATAGATGGTCCCGTGTGCCTCCAGCCCTCAGTGCCACCAGGGACGCTTATAGAGGCCTCCTTAAATTCTGTAGTTGGGCCAATGGGTGACCTCTGACCTCTGAGGTCACTCCCAAGTCTATGGTGCTAAAACTCTATATTCTATATCTCTGACAGCCCAGAGTCCTAAGTCTGTTATTCTACACGTCTAACACTTGGTGATTTTACGTCCTTTATCCAAAGCCTGGGGGTGTAGTGTGATTATAATATTGGGGTGTGGGTGCCATTGACTGCTTTCTGCAATTTTGTGGAAAAGACATTTTATATTCTTTAGGAAATAAGTGGTTCCCACACCTGGCTGGGCATCAGAATCAGGGGGTAGGGACGGGGAAGGGAACTTTTTAATATTACGGATTCTTGAATGGGGCCCTGTCAAGGCAGGGGTGGGGAACTTGTGTTTGAAGCCAGCTGTCCACTGAGTCAGACCTCCCCTCGGGCTGCACTAAGGGAAGGGCTCCTCTCAAGCCCAAGATCCTGACCCCGGCTCTCCAGCGCTTCCCTGGGTCATCGTCTCTCTATGCTTTTGTTTTCGTGTCTTGATGAAAAAAACTGAGTTTCTAGAGTCAATCTAACAATCATAATGGTGGTGGCTCATATTTCATACAGTGGGAGCTTGTGTCAGGTGCTGCGTCATTTCTGTTGTGATCACAGGGGTTATGCATTTCTCCCGTGATTCTGGAAAGCTCCACGACCGACAATACCACCTTGTTATCGCAAGGTTCCCAGATTCTGCAATTCTCATGTTCCCCAAGTTTCCACGATTCTATGTGTCCACCGCAGCGGTGGCAGACGGGCCGCCCATGGGCCGTGTCTGGATTGCAGATATGCTTCGTGGGGCCTGCGTGATGTTTTAAATTTGAATTAAATGCTGGCAACTAAAAACGAAGAGTTTCCATGTAAAAATCCAGATTCTCTCGAAATCGCCACGGGTCCCACTTACGTCATAGCCACCAGCCAAGCGGTGTGCAGGGCGCCCTCTTTAGGTGGGACATGGTGTTTATTCACCAGCCCCCATCGCTCCCTCTGGCGCCTTGACCCAAGGCAAAGGGTGAGTTGTCATTCAGCATCTTATACCCAGTTCAGCCCCTCGTTTATGCGCCTGTCTGGCACCCGGAGGGATCTGGGTTTGGGACTGGTCTAGGCTCATCCGTAGTCTTCCCGGCCCTGTCCTTCTGTGTGGCCGAGAGGCTACCACTCTAACACGCCGTTTCCCGTGTTTGAAGAAAGTGGCGTGTCTGCAATCCACTGTATCTAAGCCGGGGCGTGATGTCCCTGTTCCCTAGAGGCTCTGCCTTGACTCCCAGGCCGTGGAGCCCTGTCACAGAGGCCCCTTCCTGCACGCCAGGCAGGCAGGGAAGCCTCGGGCGGGCGAGAGGGCTGCTGGGAGTGGAGAAAGCGAGGAGAGCAAGGCGGGAGGCCCCTGTTGCATCTCCTGGGCCCCTCCCGCCCCCGCCTCCAGTGTGGTCCCGGAACAGCAAGCCCGTGCACACCACCATCCTGAACCCCCACATCCACCTGATGGGTGACGAGTCGGCCTGCATCGCCTACATCCGCATCACGCAGTACCTGGACGCCAGCGGCATCCCCCGCACCGCCCAGTCCGAGGAGACCCGCGTGTGGCACCGCCGGGACGGCAAATGGCAGATCGTCCACTTCCACAGATCCGGGGCGCCCTCCGTCCTGCCCCAGTGAGCGCCCCTCCTTGCCCCCCGCCCCGCAGGGGAATCTAGAGGAATGGGGGAGCCAACCTGGGCTGGGGGTCACGTAGGGGAGGCAGGCTGCTGCCTTCAGCCTCTGAAAGGCTGCAGAGTTGCAGGGGCGGCGGAGGGAGCCCTGAGAGAGAACGGGCTGGCCTGCAGGTGTGGGCAGGCGAGGGCGGGAGCCCCGGGAGGCAGTGCGCACTCCGTGTCGGGTGGCGGGTGGCCTGGCCGCCCGAACGAAAACACGTGCCCTCAGGAGCGCCCACACTCGTGTCTTTCAGCTGAAGCCCCAGGCCGGGGCCACTGCGTTGCTGTGCCGCGGAGACCCACTCTTTGTCCGTGGAATGTGGCTGCTGGTTCTCCCACTTGGATGTGGCTGGAATTCCCCCGTCGTGTCCCCCCCACCACCGTCAGCTCTGTACCCGCATCGAGAAAACCTGCTTGTTCAGAAAAGCCATCACAACTTCAAAGCAAATGGCCAAATTTCCCACCCCCTACCTCTCGCTCTCCTCTCTCTCCCCTGCCAGGCCGGGGCCTCCTGGGGCCTGGGTGCCGGCCCCTCCTCCTCCGCTGCTGCAGGCTGGAGTGCCAGCCGCTGGGGAGAAGGAGGGGCGAGGGGGCGAGGAGCAGGGTGTCCACCCGTCCCTCTCACGGCTCTCTCCTCTTCTGGGGTCCCCCAAGGAAGGGTAGGTGAACCCCCAGCCCCCCGAGGGAGAGGGTGAGAGAGGAGCAGACGCCAGGAGCCTCCTGCCTCAAACGGCTTCCCCCTCCTGTGCTGGCCTCACGGTGGTCCGCAGACCCTTCCCTCAGCGTGGGGGGCGCCCCCCTCTCAGGGGCCCCGCTGCTTCCTCCCGGTGAAGTCCTTCTCCAGCAGTTAGCCTGCCCGCCCTGCCCTTCTGTCACCCCGAGAATTCCAGCTTCGTCTTATCTCAGAGAGGAAATCTCATTGTCTGGCGGGGGCAAAAGAAAGCAACTTAGGTGTCACTTCTACTCGGACCGCATGCCTTTTTATAGCCAAACTCCTGTGTATTTCGTAAACGAATTTCTTGTTAATGGATATTTATGTAATAACTAGACCTCTCAAATTATTGTGAGAACGGTTGGGCTCGGAAGCGGGGTAGGAAGAGGGGTGAGGGGTGGTTTTTTTCTGTTCTAGATTATTTCTTTTGTTTGTTTGGTCATCTCTGAGGTGGACCTTGTCACCTGTGGTTATCTGGGGCCCAGGTGGACTCGGCCCCAGGGAGAAGGGCCTCTCTGCCATTTCGGCGCCAAGGTAAGCTGACGCAGGCGTTCCTTTCGGGACTGTGGAAGCATCAGATGGCAGCACCGGCCAGGAAACAGCAAGGCAGGGCAGAGAGGCGGAAGGAGCCTGTCGGGATGGAAACATCTGGACTTTTCTTTGCTTCCCTCCCACGCTGGGGACCTCACTACCGCACTTCCCAGGATCTCATGTCACCTTATCTGTGTGCCGCCCCCAACGCCCCCGCCCACCTCTAGGGGGCCCGTGAGCATTTGTCTTCATCGCCTCTCTCCCCGTGGCATCGGGTGGCTGAAGCAGAACACTGGGATTTCTACTCCTCACGCCTCATCCCTCGGCCTCGGGTTTGCACTCTCTCTCTTTCTTTTCCTCTCGCCCTCTTCCCCTGGGATTGACTCTGATGTGGAATACCTTGGCACATCCACTAGGATCTACTGTCTGCACTGTTTTCTTTGCATGACTTTATATGCAGTAAGTATGTTGAAAAAAAAAAAAACAAAAAGAAGAAAAACACTCAACAAAACCAATCTACATGTTTTGAACAAAAAGAAAAAAAATAGAGGTTGTATTCTCAGTGTCCAACTCGGAATTATGTTGCTGCCTCTCTGTGCTTTTGGCCTCTGTGTGGCCGTGTTTTGCCAGCATGAGATACTGTCTCCTCTGGAGGATTTTAGGGGAGGAAGAGCCACATCCCCGGGGATTTGGAGGAGGCTCTGGTACCCCCAACCCTCCTGGGTGTTCTTGGTTGGAGCAGAACCGGTGAGGATGTTTGATCCAGGACTTTCTGAGTTTTCCCCGATCATGAGCTGTCTGCTGGGCTCAAGTCCCGCTGCCCGGACCCCGTTGAGACGGGCTGGGTGGGGGCTACAGGCCAGGAAAGAAGCTGTCCTGGCCTCCTGGTTTCCAAGCTGGTCCATCACTGGCCTCTGTTCTCGGCTCAGACCTTGCCCAGAGGGCTTCCCAGGAAGGCCCAGTGATCCCATTGTACCAGCAGCAAAACCACCTGTCCCCCTCATGAGCTGCCAGTTCCCTACAGCCATCCCTGGCCAAAGGTGAAGGCGCCTTCGCCAGGGGATGCTAAAATCACCGAGGCAAGGTCTGAGCCCTTCTTTAGCCTCAGTTTCCCCATCGGTTAAAAGGGTTAAATGCTCTGATCTGGCCGATGGAGGATCAGACCTAGGGTGATGCGAAGCCCAATGTACCTGTGAGAACTAGCGGGCTTAGCCCCCGGCAGGACTCCTCCTGTTTACTTCTGGACCTGGCCAGTCTCCCTCCCCTCTCCCACCTGCCCTTCATCCCCCTCTTTGGTGCCTGTCAACTGCTTATCAGCAGTGGACTGCAGGGGAGAGAGAGCAGTAGTTTGGGGGTTAGCAGGCTTCAATTCCCAGCTCTGACCACACCTGCTGTGTAACCTTGGGCAAGTCCTCTCCCCTCTCTGGGCCTTGGTTTCCCAAGCAGAGGAAACTGAGCTGGAGGACGCCAAGGTCCTGCCTTTCATTGGCTGACACACCTCCGGTCCACCGTGCCCCTCTCCAAGTGCTGGAGAAGTGGAGGCACGTCCCTACCCCAGGTTCCGATGGCCCCCACTGGGAAGGCCGCGCCTGTGGGTGGGCAGCGCCCTGGTGCAGATCACAGGGCACCAGGGCTGATCCTGAGGCAGCAGGCAGGGGACACTGGCAGAAAAAGCTGCCCAGAGCCCACCCTCAGCAGACAAACTCCGTGCTCCTGCAAACATCCTGTAGATGCAAAAAAATCCAAACCCAAGTCAAAACCTAGGCTCCAGCATGCAAGTTCGTTTACAGGAAAGCATTCTCCCGGGTTTGTGCCCACCACAGTGCAAACCCTGACCTGTGGCCTCCTGTCTCCCTTCAAAGGGAGACCCTTTGGGGGGATGTGTTCGCCAGACTCCCCATGCTGGTTTCTTTGTTACTATTTGTTTGGGGTTTTGTTTCAGTTCTTTTTCTTTTCTTTTCCTTTTTTAAAAATATGTGGCTGTGAACTTGAATGACCACTGCTCAAACTTTCTGCTATTGGGGGAGGGGGGCGGGAAGGGAAGAAGGGGCGTCTGTTTTATTCCTGGTGTTTTCAGTGCAATAAATAGCTACAAACTTCTGTGCACTCCACTGTCTACCTGACTTGGTCAAGTCTCTGCCCGGGGAGGTTTGCGTTTGTTTCCTGTCCTACATCTGCCCCCCATGGGCCCCATCCTCAGAGCCAGGGATGGGGTCAGCTTCCTCCGGGAACATGGGGTTACATGGGGTTAACAAAAGCAAGGCAGTGGGTACGGGTTGCCCCAAATAGCCAGGAGCTGAAGTCTCCCTCGGGCCTTGGGGGAAGGTTCTCCTCCTCCAGGACTCTGATTCCCCTGTTCAATGAAGAGGTTGTTCCAGAGGTCCCTCCACCTGTTCCCTTCCCTCCGCCCAACCTCACAGGCAGAGCGCCCAGACAGCGGGTGGGAGAAGAGGGAGGAGAGGAAGGGTCTCTTCCCACAAGCGTATTTTGGGCCCAGTGCTTGGGGCAGGGGCCTTGGGCCAGAGCGCAGGACGGCGTGAGAGTCCCCATGGGCTGAGGGGACGCTCAGTGCCACATCAGAGGCCACTTTGGTCCTCTGAGTCAGAGCCGCTGGACTCTGTCGGGGCCAAGTCTGGACAGTGATGCAGGGGCTTTGGCCCGTCCGGCCACGATAGAGGATCACCCTTCCCGGCCGCTGCTGGGGGACTTCCCAGTGCTAAAACCAGGACAGCACTAGGTGAACCGGGCGAGTGGGTTAGCCTAAGCCAGGACCACACCCCGCAGAGGCCTAGATTCCACAGGGCCTCGGGGATGTACCCGCGGGAGCCCACAGTCCCCGGTAGACCATGCTCCGGGTGCCCGGGCCCCCAGAGTCCCTGCACCTGCCACTCTCTGGGCGTGTCCTCGCTGCCGCTGTGTGGGGTGGCCACGGGGAGTGCCTGTGGGGATGTGCGTCTTGCACACACGTGAGGACCTTCCCAGTGAGAGCACTGGCCGTGGATGAGGAGGGCAAGAGGGGCCTGGGGGCTTCCACTTGCACCCTTACCCTGGAGCCCAGCAGTGTTAGCGCCAGAGCCCCTCCCAGCTCCACCTTCACGCGCCCCAGGACTTCCGGCGCCCCGGGACTTCCCGCCTGGGCAGACGGGTTGAGGGCGCGGGCGGCCATCGCACACACTCGCCAGCAGGTGGCAGCACAGGAGCAGGGAGGGCCCCGTTGTCCTCAAGGGATGTCCTTTAACTCTGAAAAAGTACCAAGGCCACTTAACAACACTATTATTATCTCACAGGAGCGTGGCGCTCCACAATTCACAAAGCGCTTTCACAGCACCCCTTGTCCCAGTTCCGACAGCCCTATTTTGAGGATGAAAACAATGAGACGAGGAGGCCCAGCCTTCTAGCTCAGAGCACAGCGCTCTGCTCCCTCCAGGCGCCTTCCTTGCCCTGGCCTGGGCTTCCAGGTCCCTATCTCTGGACAGCCGGCACATAGTGACAGAGATTCTCATGCACCCACCTCCCTGTTACCCTCTGTCCTCTTCCAGCTGCTGCCCCGTCTCTCAGTTGTCTACACCCCCAGCCTGCATAGTCCACACCCGCTGCAGAGGGCTGGCTCACTCACATTCGCTTGCTGAGAGCATTGCAACAGCTCCTCGCCCTTCAGGACACAGCTCTGGGAAGCCTCCCCTGACTGCCCAACACACTCTGGGTTCTGTCCTTCCTCCGGCTTCCACAGCAGCCTGTGCCTACCTCACCACAGGTCTCTGGTTTAAAGTCATCCAACGAAGTGTCTACAAAGTGCGTGTGCCTTGAAGGCAGGACAGCCTCTTGTCCATGCTCAAGATGCATGCAGCAGGTGTCATCGTTCTTGCAGCGAGTAGACCCCTGGCAGGTGTGTGCTGCTGCAATGAGGGAGGAGTGGATGCTGTGTGGGCACAAGTATTTCACCTGCCTCTGCAGTCACAGGGGCTGACACTTCCTGGGTGCTGACCAAGCGCCAGGCACGCCCCACCTCCTTCACAGGTGCTCCCTCCGTGCTCCGCACAGCCCGCACTGTGGGCACCATCATTCTCTTCATTCCATGACCGAGGAGACTGTGCTGCCCAAGGGGGAAGAACCTGCCCGAGATGGCCCAGGGCACAAGGGAGGGAGGTGACACTGGGAACTCCCTGGGGCATACTGCAGCTGGGCTGAGCTGCAAGGGGGGGCTCAGGGGTGAGCTGGACCTGTCTTCTGTCCCCCAGGAATCCCTGTTGCCATTGCAGACAGCGAGAGACACGCCGAAAGCAAGACCCCAGGGCAGACTAGGATGGGGCTGGACCTGGAGCTACAAAGCGTACAGGGCCCAAAGGAAGCAGCAGGAGGAAAGACAGTGATGAGGCTGTGGCGGGGGTTGTGGAGGTGCTAGAAGGGGTGAGAGGTGAGTGAGTGTGGAGGCCAGGGCAAAGGCTGAGAGCCCAGAGCAAGTAGGGGTGGTGGGGGTCAGGGGGAAGAACAAGCTTGGGAGGAGGCTGGAAATGTCAGAGGGCGGAGTGAGCCCAAATCTGCCATGGGATGGGCATGCCTTTCCAGGGCAGGGGGGGCCCCCAGCAGTGGACATGGCCTTCTCCACACCTGGGTCGTAGCAGATCCTTAGGAAGCACCCCCCAGCAGATGCGGGAGTCTTTGCCCAGTGCAAGGTGGCGGGTCTGGCGCTCTGAGAATGGGCCCTCTCCTTGTGCTTCCTCCTGAGAGCAGCCCCACCCTCCCTGCTCCACCTGGGCCACCCAGGTCTCAGAGGCCACTTCCCTCCAGGCAGCCTGGTCTGGCCATCCCTTCCCAGGCCCGGAGCCTCAGCTGGAGGTGGAGGGAGTTAGGGGGAGCTGGAGATGGACTGTCCCGCCCCACCCAGGAAAAGGGAGGATGATTACCATTCTCTCCCAGTGTGACATTGGATGGGTCACGTCCCCTCTCTGGGCCTTAGTTCCCTCATTATTACATGACCTTGAACCTGTGGCCCCCAAATAGGGGAACTGAGCTGGCTGCAGCAGAATCACCAGGGAGTTTGCTAAAAATACAGATGTTTCTGGCTCCACCCTCAACCAGTCTGGGCAGGGGTCCAGGCAGCTGTAGTTTTAGTAAGCACCCAGGTTTGGGAACCTTGCATTGAGGACCCCTCCTCCAGTCCCCCCAGTCACAGTGGGAGCCCGAAGATCAGTTATTGGTCCCACCTGAGGCGTCCTGCTCTCTGGCCTCCTCCCTGACTCAGCTAAATCAAAATTGACCAGAGGCCCCTCCCCTGCTAAGCCCCGAAGTTCTCTGAGACCCTGACCCTGGAGCAGCAGAGTCAAGGTCAAAGCAAGGCGAGGCACCAGGGTGGTGTTATTGCTGTGCCCACTCCCACTTTGCTCTGGCTGGGCATCCCAGTTCACTGGAGAAACCGTCGGGGCTCCCAGCCACTCCTCCAGCTCATCGGCAGGAGGAATGAAACTTCTTCCCACCAGGCAGAGCCAATGCCAAATCCATCTCTGAAGAAGGGGTCGCTGTTCCCCTCCCCAGCTCCCTGGGCGTGTGCCTAGCAGAAGGCTGAAGGGGGGCAGGTGGAGGCAGACAGCCCCCTCCCTCGCCTCTCTCCCCCAGGCACCTCTGTGGGGCTCGCTGCTCCCGTTCGACCCATTCATCTCACACACGGGGACACTGAGGCCTGGTCTCCAAGGCACATTGCCATCGAACTGGATGGTGCCCTGAGCCTCCAGCGCGGCCTATCCCTGGCTCCAGCCATGCCAACCTCCAACCTCCTCCTCTCTCGGCTGAGCCTCAGTTTCCTCATCTGTACAAGGAACAGCTGGCTAATGAGAACCGACCCACCTAGGAGGTTTCTACATGCTATGCTTTGCCCTAAGTAGTCTGATCATTTTTTAAATCTATATATTGAGCATCTATATTATCTCATTTAATCCCCTGCAAGGCAAAATCTATTCTCGTCATTTTATATCTGAGGCCACTGGGGTTCAGAGAGGTGACGTAGCAGACTCAGCCAGGCTGTGGAGCTGGGATTCCACTCCGACCAGTGGGCGTCTAAGTCCTCCTTGGCCCCTCCCGGCTACAGTTCTGTAGGGGTTGAGGCTCACAGAGGCTGTGGACTTGAGCAGGAAAAGACTTTTTTCCCAAAACAAAGAGTGCTCCTGAATGGGGGAGCCCAGAGGAGGCCTCCGTGTGGCCAGGCAGGCGGGCTGCGCCTCCGTCCTGGGGGAGCAGCCCAGGCGGCAGGAAGTCAGTCAGAGACGGGGCAGGGGATGCTGGCCAAGCATCGGCGCGGACAGGCAGCCCTGGACGCCCTTCCAGGGCAGGACCAGCGTCAGTGAGGCCCCAGGCCCCGGAGGGAGTGGCCTGCAGCTCCAGGAACCAAACTTTCCATGAGCCACCAGCAAAAAATGAGTCTGGAGGGGAGAGTCCACCGCAGACCCTGAGGCTCTGCCACCAGGGGTCACGTGGGATCCGGAGGGGCCCGACACCGTCTTAACTCTTTGCTGGTTATCCCCAGAGCCACCGAGGAGCCTCGTGCAGTTCGATGCTCCATCGTGCAAAGCTGTCGACCAGCCCCGTGCGGTCACTGGGGGGACTGAGGGATGAGGACAGTCCAGTCTCTGTCCTGGAGCAGTTGGTGGTGGGGCAGGGCCGTGGACACAAATGTGTTCCTTCCATCAGCAAGCATGTGTCACGTGCCCCCCGAGACCCTGTGCTGGGGCCCCGCAGCACCATCCCAGACCCGGGCGAAGCCCCGGGGAAGTAGGAGCTGTTACCCGTGTGTTACAGGTAAA